GCGTTTTGATATGTATGCTATTTTGTTGTATTGCTCCTTCAGATTACCACTTTTTCCCCATCTATGGCACATACACTTTCTGAGCAGCACTTCAAAACGTACAAAGAAGTGGAAAATTGAGTCTCTGAATAGTCTGCCTCAAGACAAGAAAAGTTCTATTGGGAGAGTATCTACAAGTTACCTGAAAGATGGGGAAATGTGTAGCTAGCGATGGACATTACTTTGAATAAAGCACTTTGATGTTTTTCTTGAAATTATCGTGTTTTCTTTGATTATAAAATCCACATTACTGTTAATAATGCAGATTAATTATTAACCAGTTAATAGTGTGGATTAACTATTAACCAGTTAGTAATACAGATTTTGTAATCCAAAGAAAACATGATAATTTCAAGAGAAACATCATCGCCAGTCACAATTCAATGCAAAAAAAACTTTCTTTAGTGCTGTTGAAACAACATTTTACTGATGACTTTTTGGTTTTCCATTTGTCTTTTGTTCAGTTGATGTGGCACTATTTTCCTTCCTTTAAAATCTTCCCCATTGCTTGTACACGATGGGAAATTGTTCGCTGAGCAACGTTTAATCTTTCTTCAAGTTGTTTTTCTGTTTGACACCCATCTTCATCCAATGCAATTGTCTTCATACTTTTTCAGTTGACCTGGATGTTCTTTGTCTTCCACATCAAAATCATCACTTTTAAAACGTTTAAACCAGCATTTACAAGTGTCTTGAGATGGAGCATGTTTACTATAAGCTTCCCAAAGTATATGACAATTTTCAGCAGCACTTTTCGTCAAAATAAAGCAATGAATTAAAACTTCCTGCAAACGGTCTTTTGGCATGAAATTTGACATTTTTAAGCATAAAAATATCTAGGATATTAACACCTTCAGAAAATGTGACATATGAAGTTTTGAAGCTTGTTGTCAATACAACAAAAATAGCATACATATCAAATTGCATATATATCAACATATGTGTAACTCCATCTATTGAAAAAAATCCTCACGATTAACTGGTACACCTAGTAGATGCCTCCTTTGCTAGATGGAGATAAGTTAATATTTCTTTTTGCTAGAGGTGGATTCATTTTTATTTTCAATTGCATTTGTCTTTAAAAAATATGTTCACTTTGGCTCAGAACTCTAGTGATTTAAAATATACAAAAGATTACATACAGCAAAAATTTCTTCCCAAGACACCCAGTTCCTTTGAACCTTTCTTAGCCTTATATCTCTTCCAGAAATGTCTCTGTCGAGGGCCTACACACTATATGTGCTCTCCATGGATTTGTCACTCCGTGCTCACAGCCACCCATCAGGTCGGTGAGGAAACTGAGGCTCAGAGACCGGAAGCCACTTGCCCGGAGTCACACACACTGGGTAAGCAGTAGACACAAGACAACGTGAGCGTGTCCACTAATGAAGCGCCTACTACGTGCCAGGCCTCCAGGACTGTCCCAGACTCGGGACATTCAACAAATCATTCCGCTGACAATGAGCGCCCTCCCTCCCTCATCTTCTGGGCACTCGGCTGGGTGCTGGCTGGGTGCTGGAGACAGCTCATGGCGGGAGCCCTTTTCCGGGTAAGAAAACCAAGAAGCAGAAGGGGAAAAACCGCTCGGAAGCCACAGAATGATCATCAGCGCCGTTTGCAGGGAGGAAGCTGGGGCACAGAGAGGGCAGCGACAGGCCCAAGGAGACCCAGCCGGGAGGGGCAGGGCAGATTGAAAGGCTCAGACGGCTACCCCGCCAGTTTCTGCGAGAGGCCGTGACCCCGCCCCTCGAGGGGCGTGGTTAAATCCGGCCCCGCCCGCAGGCCCCGCCCGCAGGCCCCGCCCCTCCGGCCGCGTTCCAGGCGCCCGGGCGCGCTTCCTGCTGGCTCCGCGGGGCGGGCGGCCCATCTGGCGGCCCCACGGGGCGGCGCGGGGCGGCGGCCCAGACTCGCTGGAGCCAGGCGCGGGCCGCCCCCCTGCCGCCTGCGGAGCCCAGGTGTGGCCGCGGCGGGGGAGGGGTGTGCCTTCCTTCCCGCTGGCCCTTCCGGACGCACCCGGGCAGGATGCAGCCGCTCGCTCGTCCCCTCCTCGGCCGCCGCCTCCCGCAGCCCCGCCTGGGTCGCGGAGGGGATCCGGGGTCGGGGAGGGCGGTGTCCGCTCCGGGGAGACCCCGGTCAAGTCTGGCCCCTCCTGTGGGCACTCAGTTTTCTCATTTGTGCGAGGCCAGTTGGACTCTGACCTCCTGGACTCTGGCCTTGCCCCTCAGGAATCCCAAGCAGGACGGTGGGAGCCGGCGCCAGCTCTTCTGTCTTAGGGGCTGACATTATCCATTTTTCACCCATTTCAAGCCTGTCTCCCCATCACAACGCCGCCCGGCGGCCCCGGTGGGGCGCTGGCGCCGGCCCGGCTCCCCGTGTGCCCTGCTCACAGCTGGTGCCAAGGCTGGAAGGACAGCTCAGGGCCTGACCTCCCTAAGGTGCAGCCTGCCTGGGAGGGAGGTTCTCCATTTCACCGCCGAGGAAACAGGACCGAGTGGGCAGGCCCCTTCCGGTCCCATCCTGGCAGCCAGCCCTTGCGTCAGACTCGGACTTCCTTCTCCGACGTGACCCCAAGATTGGAACCCAGAACCCAGTATCCTGTCAAACGGCGCCTCCGGTGAACATCAATCGTGGTGTTTGGAAGCCAGGCTCCTGGGTTCAAATCCCCCCTGGGAGCTCCATGTCTCGGCTTGAGCTCCTGTATCTGTGAAAACGATGGCGCCTGCCTCACAAGGGTTGTAACAACATATTTCTGAAACACACAGCATGATGCCGGACGCAGGGCAAGTACGAGAAGCGGGTGCACTGGGACTCCCGGCAGGGCCGGTCTTCCCTCTGCAGTTAAAGGAGACCCAGGCCCCGGAGAGGAAGACCTAGCAAACCAGGGCAGAACCTGGGGATTTCCCAGCAATTTCCCGAGAATCCACCCCCATCCTGGGGTGAGGCTGGAGCCAGGCCTACCCAGGGCCCTGCCCAGACACCCACCCCTGCTTCTGGGGCGCGCAGGCCCGATCTGCCCAGCCCGGTGCCATTTCTCCACGGGACTCTGGCGGTGGCGGCTCACATCTGGAGTCTAGACTCAGAGGCTCTGCAGGCCGGGCCCACCGCCCAGGCTGGCCACCGCTGCCCGCTGTTTGCTCAGCTGAAGCTGGTTAATTGGAATTAGAGTGGGCTCTGCGGAGCCGGCTGGCCGGGCGGGCCCGGGGTGGCCGCTGCCGAGGTCTGTGGAACATCTGGCCCGGCCAGGATGGTCATTAGGTGGCGGGCGCCCGGCGCCACTGCCACCTCAGCCTCCGCCGGGGGCCGGCGGTGACTCAATGGGGCCTTTGTGGGCCCCGGGCCGCAGAGCCAACCGCACGGTGTGCCTGGGCTGCCTGCCCCATGTGCCGCCCTCAGAGGGGCCTTGTTCCAGGACCACACGGCCTTCCCTCCGGAGGCCTGGAGTCGGAAGAGCTCCGGAAGCCCCTGAACGGGACCCCCTGGCCGGAGCAGCCGCCGAGAGCTCCTCCCGGGCCTCTCCCCACAGATCCCTAGGCCCCGAGAAGGGGGGACGGCTCAGAGCGCCCAGCCGCCCGGCCCGTCACTCCGGCCCAGGAGGGGAGGAGGTGCACGCCTTAGGAACTTCGGGGGGGGGGGCTGTCTCAGCCCATTGGGCACCCCCTCATCTCAGGCTCTGTGTGACCCCACTCCAGGCAGGTGGCTGCGGCTGTGCCACTCCTCCCCTGGCCCCCGGGGGTTTCCTGCCGGCCATGGAAACCCTGCTGCTGGGAGCCGCAGGCCCTGGGCTGAGATGCCCTCGGAGGCACTGGGCCCAGGCCCTCTCCGTGTTTCTCTAATGGCTCTGGCCCTTGTGTTGTGACCAGCACTGCTGTGGGGAAGGGGGTCGCTCCTAGGTTCAGGATCCTTGCAGGGGTAATTTTGGGAAGAACCCCAGGAAAGACAGCGCGGGGGGCCTTGATCTCCAGGACGTGGGCCCAGGTGCTCTCCAGATGAAGCCAGGGATGCTGGTGCTTGCCTGGCCAGCATGGCTCAGTGGTTGAGCATCAACCTATGAACCAGGAGGTCATGGTTCGATTCCTGGTCAGGGCACATGCCTGGGTTCTGGGCTCGACCTCCAGGGTGGGGCGTGCGGAAGGCAGCCAATCAATGATTCTCATCACTGATGTTTCTCTCGCTCTCTCCCTCTCTGAAATCAATAAAAAATGTATTTAAAAAGAATTAAAAACAAAACACTCTTCCCTGGGGACCAGGAGCCCCTGCCCATTTCTCTGCTTTATAGACACTGGTCCCTTTGCTGAATGAGGTTAGCCTTTTGGTATCTACCCCTCCACTTCCCTCCATGGGGTGAGTGGTAGGTGCAACAACCCAGCACGTGTCTACCCTGCTTGCTGCCCCCTAGCGTTGTGAGGGAAACTGGATGGCTAGTGGGAAGGAGGGCTCGTGGGCACCCTCTGCTGGCCACATGGCATCCTTGGGGTTCGGAGCTAGGCACTGGGTGGGCATCGGAGATGGGACAGAGGGGCCCAGAGGTCAAGGTATCCCCCAGGTTGCGACAGGCCAATCCCCAAGAAGCGGCTTCCAGGTCAGGTTCTGGGCGGAGTGAGAGCCAGCAGACCCACTGTAAGATGCTAGGAGCGCGGCGTCTGCTTGGGCAGCGGGATGAGTTTTTAATGTGAGGCAAAGTCAGTTCATAATACAAAAATCTAAAAACCAGGCCCATTTCCCACCTGGCACCTGGGCAGAGGGGACGCTGGGGCTTCCTTTGCCGGCAGGTGACAGGGAGGGCAGAGGAAGGCCGGGGGAGGGGAGGAGGGAGCCGGGGCACCGAGGCGTCCCTGCAGGGCCCTGCTGCCCGCCCTCCGCGGGCTGCCAGGCCTGCGGCGCCCTCTGGCTGGGCGCCCTGCGCCTGTGCTGGTCCGTCCCCGCCGGCCTCATCGGCCCTCAGAGGGTCAGGCGCCAGCACGTCATTTCTCCTTCTTCTCCAGCCCCTCTGACGCCGAGGCCTCTGCTCCCTCTTTGGATTCTGCCACGGCTGCTGGATCCTTAGGATTTGACTCTTCATAACTGACAAAAAGCGGAACAATAGAAAGAACACATTTAGAGGCGAGGGAAAGAGCCTGTGCCCGCCATCCCACCATCCCAGGAAACCCGGCTCCCGAGCATTGCCAGCCCTCTGCCCACCGCCCAGCCTCCTCGGGTGCGTGGCCCGCCCGCCCTGTGCCCTCCCCAGACAGGCGGCTCTGCTTCCCAGTGCCCGGCGGTGCCAAGAGGCGGCAAGGGCAGTGGCAGATGGAGGAGTGGTTGGGCTTGGACTTGTGTGAACCAACGTTAAGCTTCTTGAACCTTCCGCTGGAGACAGCGGGAACAAAGGGGCAGCCAGGATGCGGCTGGGAGATGGCTGCCTCCCAGGCCACAGGGCAGGAGTCAAAGAATCAGCCCCAGGGGCGCGAGTGGGCAGAGGGCTGCTCTACTGGCGAGTGGCGAGCACCGCTCTCAAAGGCGGGCACCCTGGCTGAGCTCTTACTATGGACTCCACTTATTGAGCAACTGAGTTCATGCCAAGGACAAGGCCCACATTTCCTCACTAGATCACCCCGAGGCAGGGATATGCCCACTTAACGATGAAGAAAGAGCTTGGAGAGGAGAAAGTGACTTGCCCGAGATTATAGATGTACAGGGAGTGGTAACAGTGTCCACTACTGTACGGCAGAGGTGTCGCCACCCTCTCTCTCAGGAGCCCCGCATTCTTGGTGAGGACACGGAGGTTCGGGCTGCCCGGTTCCCTGGCCCCACCGCTGGGTGCAGGGGCTGCCTGATGGCTGTGGGGGAGCAGCCTTTTGCCCCTGGGGCCGGGTACGTGCCCTACCTTGGGCCCTGGGGCAGAGGGGGGGAGCGGGCAGGTGGGCACCCGCTGGGCATTACATGGCGCTGGGATTCTGCGGGCGCCGGCGGTGAGGGCCAGCTAGCTTCTGCTGCATGGAGTCGGCCAGACTGGCTGGGGAGCCCGAGATGGTGGGGAAGTGGGTGAGCCTCGGGGTATGAGGCAGGATTTCCGCCGAGGACTCGTAGCTGTGAGAGACAGACAGACAGAGACAGAAAGGAGAGATGGCTAGGAAAAGACTAGAGGAGGACAGAGCCTTCCCTTCCCAGGGGCAGCGCGCAGAGCTGTGTCTCCCTTTTACCTCTGCGCGTCCAGCTTCTCTGGACAGAAGCCGGTGTCATTTGGAGAATAAAAAAGAAAAGAGGCACCGACACAAGGGGGTGCTAGACATCTACGGCTGCTGGAAGCATTTCTCGGATACGCTGCGGGTGGAAAATCAAGATGCAGACGCTCCGAGAACGCCATCTGTGCGGAACAGGCACTGTGCTTGCTCTCAGGTGCAAGGGTGGCTCTGAGGGCAGACCCTGTGACAGAGCTGGCCTGTGGGTGTCTGCGTGCTGAGGGTGCTGTCCCTCTGTTATGGAATTTTGTTAGCTATTTGAAAGTAAATAAGTGAATGAAAAAAGGGGGGGCATAACAATAAAAGGGAAAGCAAAACAAAGGATAAGGTGGAGAATCGGGGAGAGAGCGGACAGAAGGAGAAGAGAGAGACCACCTCCTTTTTCACCTCACCCTGCGAACGCCTCAGGGGTGGGGTAACAGGGAGGCTGAATGCCTCTGTGGCGAACTTTTAGGGAAACCAAGTAGCCATGGGGGAAGGGGCCCCTTTGTTCTCGCTGGGGGTGTTCAGAGCTTGACTGCATGAGGACTGGGACCACAATAGGACTGGGCCCGGAGAGCTTACCCGAGGGGTGGGTGGGGGCTGAGAGTGGACAAGAGCCAGAGGATGAGGGCAGGTGTTCAGCTCAGAGATTAGGTCCCACCTCTGCCCTCAAAGCGCCCCTAGCTCTGTCCCCAAGTTCACCTGCAGTCTTGTCACAGAGTCTAAGACTTCAGCAGGCCGGGAGATAAGGGCAGGCAGGCTGGAGCCTGGGGCTTCCAGGCAGGGCAGGACGGGGGAGGGTGAGTCACAGGCTCCCTTGGAGGCAGCCAGGTGCACGGAAGGCCCTGGCGGGCGCTCGAGGGACAACTTAGAGGCCAGGCAGGTGGAGCTGGGTGGAAGGCCCGAGTGGGCAGCTGGCAGCTATTTCTGGGTCCCTGGCAGGCGGGGTCAGCGGTGCTGAGGAGCAGGCACCTGTGGGAGTCACGCAGGCCTTGGGCTGTGGGTGGGGCGGCGCATGGGCGTGGCTGGTGTGCAGATGGGACTGAGACAGAACCCAGCGAGCTGTGGGTTTCAGCTACAGGGGCGGCGGAATGGGGACTGACACTTGGCTTCTAATCTGGGGCTCTTGCCACCACACTGGAGCCTCCCTGATACTCTCCGTGGAGACTGAGGCCAGGGGAGGGGAAGTACATGCTGGTCACACGGTGGCACGGCACAGGTGGCCCGGCACAGCCCGTGGGAACTCGGGACGCCTGACAGTGAGGCAGCCCGGGGGAGAAATTCTACACCAGCCAGTCCCTCGTCAAGAGCAGCTGGCCTCTGGCTGTGGGAGCTGTCTGGAGAGGCCCAAGGCCTTGCCCTCTGCTGGCTCCGGCCCACGGAAAGGCTCCGGTGGTGCCCACAGGCCAGGCACCCACCTGCTGGTGGAAAGGGCGAGGGGTGGGGCTGGCGGTGGGAACAATGTTCCCCTGGCGACATGTACAAACAGCTCCACTGGCTGCCTGCAGGTGCACCTGTGCAAACGTCTGCCCTGCCCCTTACCTGAACATCTCTGTCACCTCTCCCTTCGCCAGCGCCACCAGGACGGGGAAGCCGATGCAGGCGGGGACCAGGTACAGGAGGGCAGGCTGCAAGAGGACACAGGCTGTGAGGCAGTGCCGGGCAGGATCCCCCCTCAGGGCCACGCACCCTTTCCTGGGCATGACAGTGACAGCTACTGCCCAGGTCCGGAGCCAGTCAGTGTCTGGGCCTGAAGCCGGGCTCCCGACTCCTGGACCGGCTGCTCCTCCCTAGGAGGGAAGGCAAGAATCCCAAAGAAACTCGCGTTTGCAGAGCTTAAGGGTGCCAGGAGTCTGGCAGGCAGCATCCCAATGTAACCTCTTGGTTGGTCCTGTTTCCAGAGACCCTCCTTCCATAGGGTTAAATGAAATGTCCAATTAACAAAATTAAACTAGCAAATAGTATATTGAATTAATATGTATAATTAAATTCTCACTTGAGGGTATGTTTTTATTGATTTTTGAGAGAAAAGGAGAAAGAAACATCGATGTGAGAGAGAAACATTGCTCAGTTGCCTCCTGTATGCACCTTGACTGGGAATTGAACCCGCAACCCTTCGGTGCAGGGACAGTGTCCCAACCACCTGAGCCACTGGCCAGGGCTGGGAGTTTGTGTTTTGGGCACATGCTCCAGGAGATGCTGCCTCAGTGACAAGATGATGATGATGACACAGCTGCTAAGGCCTGTACTGAGGTCACACAGATGGTCGCTGGTTCTCCGGGATTCACACCCCGGTGGCCTGGGCCCGAAGCCCGGGTGAGACTCGGGGGGAGCCTGGCTTTGGAGGACGGCAATTATTCAAGGACCCTTGTTCATGGCACACCTGTGCACACCGAGCTCAGGCCTCCCAGTCCGTCTCCTCCTCCCCTCTGAGTGCCTCCTGGGCAGAGGCTGATGCTCTGGGAGGAGGGGACAGCCTAGGCCTCAGAGGTCTAAACAGTAAACGGGGATTGAGTATCGGGCACACTAGACCCTAAAGCCATCCTTTCCCCTGCAGCAGCTGAGAGTTGGTGTCCCTCTACTGTCCCACCCCCCGGCCCCCTATGCTCCCTTCGTCCTTCTCCACCTTCGCCTGCCCTGTCCTGCTCTGGCCAGACTGGCCTCATTTCAGTCCTCACACCACCTCCAGCTGCAGGACCTCTGTGAGATCCCCCTGTGCCCGGATCTCTCCTCCTTCAGCGCTCAGCTCGGCTGTTACCCCCATGGGGAAGCCTTCACTCGCATGGCCAGGTCCTCTTGTTGGACACTCAGGGACCCCTGGATTTCTTCACAGCTGCCTGCTCATGGCTGGATCCCTGGCGCCCAGAAGGGGGCCTGGCAAACACTGAGCAAACAGTCCTCCTGGATGCTCAGTCAGGAGGCGCTTGGAGATGGCTGGCTGTGGGGACACCCTTCCTAAAGCCGAGGCGGCCCCTGACCAGAGAACAGGGCTCCACGGCCTGAGAGTCCGACCCACAGGGCATTTTTTGGCAACCTTCATGGTGGGCTGTGAACCACACACCCTTCACATTGTATTATCCTTGAACCCAATAGCACCGTAAATATTAGGATCTGAGTTTCATAGACGATGCTACTGAGGTTCAGACGGAGGTAATGACTTGCCCAAGTTAACACGGTGGGGGTCGTCCATAAGTGGCTGAGCTTGGATTTGAACCCGGAAAGCTGAGCTTCTCTCAATGCGTCAGGTCTCTGCTATGAGCTAGGCTTTGCGCCAAGAGCAATAGGAATCACAACAACAAAGGTCCGCACCAGAACCTGTGAGGCAGTGAGGGCAGCGCTCAGAGCTGACGGGAGCGGCTCCTTTGGGAGACAGGGAGTTATCAGGAGGTCACAGGCGCACTGTTTTCTTTCCTCTCAGGCACCAGGGAGCCTCTCCAGACAAAGTCAGCGCTCAAGAGGCTAGGGTGGCCGGGACCGGTTTGGCTCAATGGATAGAGCGTCGGCTTGGGGACTGAGGGTCCCGGGTTCGATTCCGGTCAAGGGCATGTACCTTGGTTGCGGGCACATCCTCAGTAGGGGGTGTGCAAGAGGCAGCTGATCGATGACTCTCTCATCGATGTTTCTAACTCTCTATCTCTCTCCCTTCCTCTCTGTATAAAATCAATACAATATATTAAAAAAAAAAAAAAAAGAGGCTAGGATGTGCAAGCAGCTCAGGGCGGTGAGCAGGGGCTAGGACTCCTGGCTTTCCATCCATCTTGGCGCTGGATGCTAAACCTCGCCCCCCTCTCTGAACAATGAGGTCACCGATCATCTCCAAGGGCCTCTCTAGACCCCTGGCTTAGTGTGGCTTTTGGGAGAGGTTCAGGGGTCAATAAGACGGCTTAGGCAGAGGACACCCTTACGAAGGAACCGCTGGCACTGGGACTGCCTGTGTCTGGGAGGGACAGGCCTCTCAGGACAGGCCCCTTATGTCCTGGATCCCTTTCTCAAGGCTTTTAGGGAGATGCCCACATGGATGACTGGGGAGGATGGCTGGGCTGCTGCTGGGGAGTAATACAGGCCTGGGCTTAGGGGACAAAAGTCCAGGGTTCCAACTGGGGCCCGGCTTGACTTGCTGTGTGACCCAGGAAAGGTTCCTTTTCTGTCTGGGCTACAGTGTCCCCCACAAAGAGAGGACCATTCTCATGCCTCTGCTCTGTTGTGAGAGCTCCCAATGGAATTCTCTAGCCAAGGCAGAAGGCAAGCCTGCCACCTGGTGGCCGCCGGCGGAATAGCTCTGGGCTTGGAATCTAAGGTCCGAGAGCGGGAGAAGACATCCAAGCTCCTCCCCCAATCCAGGTTCAATCCCTCTCTGCAGCCTCACAGCCCCCAGGCTGTTTAGAGCAGAAGAGAATGAGAGAGGGCTCCGCACTGGTTCTTGGTTTCCTCACCTATGGGGTAGAGGACCTTGGCCCTTGGTCCTTGTGTAAAATAATACTTTATGCATACTGTAGACATGCAAATACTGCAACAACTAAACAACTGAACGAGCAAAAGGGTTTAGGAGTGCCTGGCACAGAGTAACTGCTCAACAAACAGTTCTTGGCTGGTGCCCCAGAGGGTCAGGGAGGTGGGGACCAGCAACAATGACAGCTACTACTACGTGGGCCAGGCATGATTCAAGCAACTCCAAGGCGGCTACAACTGTTTACCCTCATTTTCTGTTTTTGTCCATCTACTAGTGGCCAGTGCAAGAAATTCGTACACATTAAAAGGGAATTAGAGGAAATATTTTAATATTGCTATTTGCCCTTTCTCTATAATAGAAATGTCAGAGAGGAAAGAAAATTAGCAAAATGTATATGAAAACCTTCCTCCTGTCAAGAGTGTGGGGTGCATCGCGGGACCCAGAGTCAAGTCCCTGCCCACCCACATGCACGCATTGAAATCGCATGAGATCCAGATCCAGCTGGCCCCACCCCTGTCAAGCCCCGCTGGGCTGGGGGTGGGGGGCATAGCCTCAGGTCCCCTGGCCCAGTCCTGCCTGGTGCCACACAACCTCAGGTCCCTGCTGATTGCTCGTTACAGGAACCTCACCTCCACTGTGGGCGCAGCCATCCTGTGATGGCATGAGGGTTAATTTGCATATCACCAATTAATTATATAGGGGGATGAGGAAAATCAAGAATAAGTTCAGCAACCTGCCAGAGTCCCACAATTGCAGGTAGTAGGGTCTAGATGCCCATCAGGGCTCCCTTAGCTCCTCTCCACACTGCCCTTCCCAGAGCTGGGGGCTCAGAGCCTGGGCTTGGATTCCCCGTGACACAGGTTTGAATCTCAGCTCCACCACATACTTTCTGCCTGGCACCTGAACTGGTTCCATCTGTTCACAGTGACCCTTGTGAAGTGCCGAGCAGAGCCTGGCCACAGAGTGCTCTCCTTTCCAGTGAAGAGCACTGTCCGCTTGCTGTGCCTTCCCAGTCTCCCCCTCTTCAGGTCACACTGACAACGGCTCCAGCCCCCACCCCACCCTGTTTCACTCAGCACCCAATTTGGTGGGACAAGGAGGCAGAGCCTGGCTAGGCTTGGGGAGTAAGGGAGGGGACCCCCAATACCCTATCACTCATCTGCAGGGCGAGCACTGGGCTGATACACCCAACACACACCCCAACCCCAGTCTCTGTCTCCTCCCACTGAGGATGAGGAGTCACACCCTCTCTCAGACCCCTGCAGCTGGGGCCACGTGACATGGATCTGGCCCATGAGGTGTGGGCAGGTCTGCTGGGAAGGTCTGGGGAAGGTGTCGCCCTTCTGATGAAGGCAAACAGGCATGGCTGGTACTGTTTCCTCCTCCTCGCCCCTAACCTGTGTGCTGCCGGAAGCAGAGGCATCATCTTGCAAGAACCACGAGTGAAAGGCGGAGAATCAGACATGCTTGCTCTGACAGCAACGGGTACGCTCACCTCTGGATATGACAAATACCCCCTATGATGACCCCGTTACCTGCGTGAAGCATTCCCGATACACTGAGGGCCCTGCTCACCTGGGCGTGTTTAAAGATGTGCATGATGAAGATGGTGAGGCCCAGGCCGAAGATGTAGGCCGCAAAGCTGGTGTAGAAGTAGGTGTGGGTGTTCTTCTTCAGGCTTCGGGAGAGGACGGGAGGAAGAGGGAGTGTTAGATGCAGTATCCCTTTAAAACAGGAGCTGGGAAGACCCTGGAGGCGTTGGGGTGGCTGAGAGCTCTGGGCTGGGATTGTCCAGAAGTGGGTGCACACTCTGGAACTGCTCCAGCTGTGTCTCTGGACATGCCACTTTCCTTCTCTCAACCTCGGTTTACTCATCTGCAAAATGGGCATCTATCCACCACCATCTACCTCCCTGATGGTTGGGAATATCAAATGCTATAATCTAGGACAGAGGCTTAAGATTCAAGCCGGCACAAAAATCACCTGGAAACCTGGTTAAAAAACAAAAACAACCCCCCCAACAAACAAACAAACAAACAAACAAACAAACACCACAAGAGTTTGAGGTCAAATTACCAAGCAGTCTGAGCTAATAGGTCTGGGGCAAGGTCCTGGAACCTGCATTTTGAAAAACCCAGGGGAATCTGATACCAGTGGACCATGCTTTTAGAGAAACTGCAAAACTATTTTAAGCGCAGTGCACATAATAATTCCGTTGCCTGTTGTGAATAATAGGTGCCGACTGCACAGATAAAATGCCAGCGACTTCCTGGAGGCGATTCATCCAAGATCAGCTTCAGAACCGCTGAATCACAAGCAGCCCGGCACTGCCATGGCAGGACTTTCCTGTCCAATGCCAGCGTGTGACCTCTGCCTGTCACAGCACTGGGGACAATGCCTGGTGAAGCGAATGAGAACGTCTGACCCCCTCTCTCCTTGCCTTGGCTGCTTCTGAGCCCTAAGCTGCAAGTACACCGAGAGCCGCTCTGTGTGGAGGCCGGGAGCCAGCTGACTCCCTTGGGCACGTTGCACAAATTCTGGAACCAGCTCCAAAGGGCTTGCTCATCCTGAAGTCAGGCGAGGAGATCTGAGGTTACTGGCAGCTGCATGTGTGTCTCCAGCAGGGTCCAGGGACTTTTGTGGGTTTCTCTTTATGTCACCTCTGAACAGCCAAGAGTAGCTGGCTGACACAGAGGTGCCTCGACTTACAAACCGGCCAGCTCCTTCGAGAAGGCTGGCTGTGAGTCTGCATTCATGAGTCCCAGAAGGGCACTACACCAACAGCCTGCTGAATGCGAGTGGGAAAGTAGTTTCACGTGCAAACTGGATTTCAGTGGTGCTGGTACCAAGTTTCTCATGACCACTGTTAACACAACTATTGCTTTTGCAATGATTGGCATGAGGAAATGAAGAAAAGTTCATAAACCACCTCAAAACCAAGGGCGCACACTGCCAGCTCCCCATGGGGTGACTGAAGGCCACCTGCTGGCGGCAGGTCCAGCTGGCCAGGTGCACTATTAACTCAGGCGCGACCTTCCCTGTGTCTTAACTGGTGACTCAAGCTGGCCCCATCTCTCCCGGGCTCACTCTCCAGCAGACTGAAAGAAGTCTGAGAGGGGAGGGTGGGGCGGCGGAGCAGCTGGGCCGTGGCGACCTGCCCCAGGCTGATAAGAAACGCAAGGGCTGACTGAGCTCCCGAGGTCAGACTGTGCCCACGCTCTCCAGACCTGCGACACGGAGGCAGAAACTTGCTTACCGCTACCATAAGGATGCAGAACCTTAGCTCAAAAAGGTCAGGCCACTTGCCAAGGTTACAGTGGGAGAAAGCACAATGGGTTTAAATCCTCTGGCCTGTGATCCTTAACTTTTTCTTGTTTTGGTCACAAGCTCTTTGAACACTCAGAACCTCAAAATGCAAAAGGCAGATAAAATCAGAATTGCTCTGACTGCTGGGGGGTGGGGGTCCCCTGAGGCCCCTTCTCTGGGTGCCTGGAAGGCAATGGAGAACCCACCCCCCCAGGGAAGGCCCTCACTCACGGAGCTGGATGGTTAGGGGTCCCAAGAAGCTTACCTGATGTCAAAACGCAGCAGCAAGGCAATGAAGATTCCTGTCGGGAGAAAGCCAGGGTGAGACGGTGGCAGGGAAGCCAGCACCCCAGAGCTGGAGCCCTTTGTCTTGGCCAGGGAGGAACTACCACACAACTGGGCCCCCAACCTGGTGATGCCAGGCACGGAGCGATCACTGGGACCCAGGGAGTGGCCAATATGCCAGCTGCCAGCAGAAATCCTGCGTCCCTGCCATCAGGCCACTCAGAACCACGAGGAGGCCCAGGACTTCGCTTTGGCTGGGACCACATGGACCTGGCGCCTCGAGCAACACACTGTGCCACACTGGCTCCTCTACCCAATGCTTATCGAGGGCTGCTGGTACCGCGGGCACCACAGGCAATAGGAGGTAAGCAAAACAACTGCACCCCGAGTTCAGCCAAGGGGGCCCGGGGTACACACTCTGCTCGCACAGAACCAGAGCCGATGTGAGATCAGAACAGTGAGGGCACTTCCTGCCCCAGGGAAGGTTATCAAGATGAGACCCAGGCTGGGGACGGAGAGTGCTTTGAGGAAGTGACATTTGCCAGGGAGAGGGGACAACAGGAGCTCAGAGATGTGGCAGAGGTCAAGGGCAGCCAGGAAGCTGCAGCCCAGAACAGGAGGTGCAGGGACAGGCCAGCCACGCAGGGCCCACGGGCATGAGGAGTTGGGTCTCTATCCTGAGTGAGGAGCACACTGGGGGAGTTCCGAGGGGGAGAACCACGAAGCACATTTAGAAAAAGACCATGCTCACAGACTCGGGGAGAAAGAGGATAAGCAGACCAGGAGAGAATGGCTAACTCTGTCCATCCACTGAGCTTCTATTTGTACTTTAAAACCCAGCACAGACACCCTGAAGTCCCAGGACACACGGCCCAGCCTCTGTGTCTCTCCCTGTCTGGTCTTTGGGTGGAATCATTCAGGGCAAGGGTGGAATCTCCTTTAGTTGAGAGCACTCTCAGGAACCAAAACATTCTATGCTGATCAGAAGCACCGACTGACAACATATACTTCATTTTAAAGAGGGAAACGAGTCAGTCCCCACTGCAGACTGTGTGAGAAGGGAGTGGGTGGGTAGAGAGCAAACAAATACTGCCTTTCCGTAAGCAAAGTGGGAAACTCAGTGCCCCCTGGTGGCTGAATTCTACAACTGCTGCATCCGTTCCGGAGCTGACCCAGGGGTCAGAGCTTTGCCAAGAGCTTTCACTATTCCTAAAGCATCTGGTCCTCAAAACAATCCAGAAACCTGTTCTTTGAAGAATGTCACCGGGCTCTGTGAGGGTGCAATCACCTTCCGTTCCCTGTGACTGCTGAAAGACAGGCGTCCGTGGGCACACAGAAATGCAGCCATGGCCCTCCGGTGCAGGCCGTGAGCCCAGATTACAACCATAGGGACACTGGGGAAGTCCGGGCGGTACCTGGGACAGGCCATGCTGCAGAGGGACCTGAGTGCTTTATGGACTCGAATCTCTGTCTTTGGAGCTGCCTGGTCCCGGGAGGACGCCTCCCTGCCTGACAGCACTGCACGTTATGGAAACACTTGGCTTCAAGTCCATGATCAGTTGCCGCCCACACGTCCCCCAACCAGGGCCAGGGATCAAACCTGCAACCCAGGTACATGTCGTTGATCAGGAATCGAACACTCGACCCTTCAGTGAGTGGGCCGATGCTCTAACCACTTGGCACCACAGGCATGTTCTGCCTGGAGCCCTCCCAGCACTGGGGGCAGAGGACCAAGGGGACTTTGGCAGTCCCACTTGCAAACACTGGTGAGGGGGGTGTAAAGTGTGGGTGTGAGAGGGGACAGGCTCTTTCACCACTGACATGAAATGTGCCTTTTCAGTGTACAGTCCGTCTGTCATACACGTTTATTTTTGTAGTTCCTGAGTAACAGCTGTTCACCAAGCCAGAAGCTCAGCGAGGACGCTCTTGGCACTGCTGTCCCTCCAGTGCCCAGCCCAGGCCTGGCACCGACTGGTGCTCCACCATGTGTGTTGAGGTGGATTCCTTCACCAAGCCCGGGCGGAGCCAGGGCGGGGAGGTGAGTCACCCTCCCCTTTCCCACTGGGCAGACTGTTTCATGGAATCCTGCTCGGTCCAGGGACCCTCCCCGCCCCCGGTACCTGGGATGACGATGTCGCCGAGTCCCAGCATGGCGAAGTTGTCCGCGTCCAGGCCCTTCTCCAGCAGGTCCTGGGGGAACACCACTGCGGAGGAGGGGGAGGCATTGGTGCTGGCCCCGCTCGCCGCCGCCTAGCCCACCTCTGCTGCAGAACTCACGCCCCTGCCTCTGCGTGGGGTGGGGGCGGGGACGAGGGCATGCGGACAGGCTGGTGGGCACTGTCTTCACCGGAGGCCGCAGCTGGTCAGAGCAGGGACGGCTCCAGGATCACCTGGGCCAAAGGAGTCACACAGCAATGGAGCCCTTGGTTAAATGGGACTGACCCTCAGACATGTAGGTGAAAGAGCCCACAGTGCAGAGGTGTGACAGGCCTTCCGATTCACGACGACAGGGCTAGGGCAGACGGGGTTGTTCTAAAGCGGGGAGCCTGGGCTCTAGGCTCTTCCTGTATGTGCTGAGGGAGAAAAGGTCACACACCCACACATTCCCTGCTGAAAGCCTCCCGCTCAGAAATCCCTCTATGGGTTTTGGATAAATACAGATTGAGAGAAATCCTCCCCTTCCCCCCATGTCCAGTTATGGCCAGAGGCGGCTGTAACTGGATTTTACCCTCAGGGCCTTGAGAGCAGAGCAGTTAGGTGTGAGCTTCAGGGTCAGAATCTTGGCTGTGATGTGTGACTCTGCACGGTTACCTAATGGCTCTCTGCCTTAGTTTTCTCACCTGTGAAATGGGCGTGACGACAGAACTGAGCCCATAGGGTTGTGGTGAGACTTAGATGATGGGCACATTGTTAACTGCTACCTCATGCCCTCTTTACTAACCCAGGCCGGACTTTGGGTGGGGCAGCCTTTCCAGGCGATGCATTAAGTGTGCTGTGGCTAAGATGATCAGGCAATCCCGGTCCTGGAATCCCCCACTTCCTTTGCTGCTGGGGGGGATCAAGTGACCCAGCGCTGGGCAATGACCCACAGGCAGAGGCTCGCTGGGGGCCGTGGGAAAGCTTGTGCTCCCCTAATATAATAAATGTATACACGCCCTTCCCTCCCTGCGGACTTCTTCCTGCTTTGAATGCAGTTACGATGATTTACAGATTTCACCACTCAACCCCTTAGTCCTGGTACCATTTGATTCTGAGAGGCAGATGTGGAAACCAGGGCCCAGAGAGAAGCCTTTCCTACGGTCTCACAGCCAGCAGGTGTCAGACCTGGGGTTCAGGTCCAGGCGGCCTGACCTCAGCGTATGTGCAGGCACCCCTCTGCGATGCTGCCTCTGAGCCCGCTCCCCGCAGAGGGACCGGCCTCCCCGCCGGAAAACCACTCTAAGCACCAGAGACCAAACAGGACAGTCGTGCCCCTGTTCAACTGTCTTATTTCCTACTGAGCAGTGTCCAAGTCCCTGGCATGATACCCTTGCTTTCCCCTGATCTGGCCTCTTTCCTGCTGCTCCCCTAGCTCACCCCTCTCCCTCCCAGGGCCTCCGTGCAGTTTGCTGAAGCTGTGCGCATCTACCTTCCGAAGGCCCACTCTGCCCTGCATGCCTGGTAAGGCACAGTCCTCCTCCATGATGCAGGCAATCTGTTCCTGACACTGTGGCTGGCTCATCCATCAAAGCACGTGGGGAACTTCTCTGGGGAACGGTCCTCACCCGACACCCTTGGTTCTGGGCGGCTGCTCACTAAAATACCTCCAGGAGCAGTGGCCCAGGCCTGTCCACCCGACCCTCCATCTTCCCACAGGAGTGCCTGGCTCAGGGGCCAGGGCGGGCTCCATACGTTTACTCAAGCTAAAGCTGAGGGAAACGGGTTTTCCTCGGGTCCCTGAGCTGGGACAAGGGCATTCTCGGGCTCACGGGGATGTCCTGTCAGCACCAGTGGAGAATGAGACTGTGGGAAAGACAGTTCTTAACTGACTCTCTGAGGCCGACGCCACTCTGACTGGCGAGGCAATGCTTCCCATGGAGCCACTCCGTGCTGGCGCCTTCTCCCTGCTGTCAGGCCTGGCGCAGCAGCTTCCGGGTGGGTCTCCTGATCCTGGAGGTGACTCCTGAGTGGTCTAAGGCTTAAACTCTAAGCTAATCATGCTTTCCCTTACCCCCCTTGCTGATGACTGGGGGCCGGTGACGCAGTTCTGGTCAGTGAAGTATAAGGGAAGATACGGGGAAAACATTCCTCTTTGATGAAAGAGAGAAAACTCCCCCATCGGTCCCTGCACACGGCTGTGTGAGGAACCCACACCGGGGACTGTGGCAGCCATGGCACCAGGACGGGATGAGCGTGAGGGACAGGCGGGCACGCTGAGGATGGGGGTGGGACCAAGCGGCTAGAGGTCGGGCTTGGGCAGAGGTGGCTGGGTGTGAGCACGGCCGGATGAACCATGGAGACAAGGAACGGAGGCTGGAGATGCAGGAGAGCTCGGAGGAAGACCAGGTGTGTGGGGAAGAGCTAACGGACAGGAATGACCAGAACAGGGACCACAGGGGAAGGGACACTAGGGGGAGGCATAGGGACTCCCCATGTGGGGTGGTCACTTACATTTTATTGGTGCTTCAAAGGACCTGGCCACTGTCACCATTACATTGGTGCCAAATACCTAGAAGGACAAGAAAGGAGTCTAGAAGGGCATGGGGGCCGGGAGGGACAGAATGGCTGACCTCAGGCGCCTCTATGTCCTGCTGAGGTCTGCAGGGAGAGGGCAGGGAGCTGGGAGGGCTCCAGAGCAGATGCCAAGTTAAGTAGGTGGCCCCTGAAACTGGTTCTGGGGACACTTCATGGGGCTCCTGGTTCTGGGCAATTCAAAGGTGTCGGAAAAGAGCCTCTGACGTCCCTGACCAGGCGCCCTGTTTGCCCCGCAGTGTCACACCTTTAAGAGAAGAGGCTGCCTGAGGCTGCAGAGTGCCCACCTGCATCAGGCTGCCCACGACCCCACAGCAAGGCCTCTCGGTGTGCGTGTGGCAGACCTCTGCCCAGGGCGGTGTGCAGCCAGAGCCTTCCGTCAACAGCAGCGCCAGGCCCGTTACTCACACTAACTACCCCCACCAGGCCGCTATGAGGAAGAGACGAGGTGGGCTGCAGGCACCGGGCACAGGTGGGCTCTCAGCCAGGGCGGACCTGCTCTCTCCTGTCATGGATGAAGGCAACTGAGCCCGAGGGACCTTCTGAGGCCTTGACTTCCAGGCCGCGGCTGCTGCCCTGCGTCAGATGACCGCTGCCCAGGCAGGGAAGGGGGGGCAGGGAGAGCTTACCCAGAAGATGTCGTAGATGAAGAGGCCGCCCAGCAGGATGCAGCCAGTGCTGACGTTGTTCAGGTGCAGGAGCTCCACCCCGTTGAGGGAGAAGGCCAAGCCAAAGAGGTTGTTGGCAATCCAGTGCTGGGGGGAGGAGGGAGTGAGACCGGGTCGTGTGCCCCTTGCGCCGTCCCACCCAGCGCTGTCCCTGTTCCCCCGCGGACCGCATGACAGGCCCCGGCGACTTACTTTCCTCAGCAGGTACCAGACACCGACGATGCTGCTCAGGCCCAGGCACACCAGGTCCTTGGTGTCAAACTCATAATTGATGATCTCTGGGCAGAGAGGCCGGGTAAGTCCACTCCCCGGGGCGGGGCTGCCCCTCCCACCTGTCAGCCCCTGGACGGAGGAGGGCATGGCTGTGGGCACTGTCAGAGGCTCAAGGGAGCCACCCCCAGTCTCTCCATTTTCCTAGAGGAGGGAATGGAGGCTCAGAGAGAACAGGCCAGGCCTGGTGCGGGGTCAGTGGGAGGTGGCTGGGAGCACAGGTTCTACACGGCAGGTGGGTGCCCCTGGGGGAGGCCGTTCCCTTTCTGAGCTCGTTTCTTATCTGTAAAATGAGGATCACATCACCTCCCTGATAGGCTGCTGTGGGGAGCAAGTGAGAAGGCCCTTACGAAGCTCCCAGCATGGCGCCTGGCACGCAGCGGGAGGCCAAGCAAGCCCGGGTCTTTAGCAAGGTCCCAGTTCTTTCAGGACCTTTCTATTTTGCCGCCAAAGGAGTCAGGAAGGTTGCTGGCAGCCCTACGTCACTAGGGGAGGAGGAAGAAAGTAAGAGATGGCGCCTGGAGAAAAAGCAAGGGAGTCCCTGGTCGGCTCCTGTGGCAGTGACAGTCTCCATCACGTCCAAGTTTCCTAACAAGGAAGCCCAGGGCCACAGAGGGCAGCCATTGTTCCAGATTTCAGAGGGGAGGAGGCTGCCGCCGGGCCCCGATTTCCGCTTTCCTCTGTGGTGACGGCACCCTGGTGATCTTTATCTGGACAGGAGGCCAGCCGGCTCCAGGCCACAGCTCCCAGCTTCCCCTGCGGCTAAATGGGACTGTGACACAGCTGCCTCTCCTTCCGGCTGGTGGGACTGGGAGTGACGGTGCACCGCCGGAGGCCCAGGGGTCATGGCATGAGGCAGAGCAGAGACAGACCGCGCCTGGGACCTGAAGATTTTGTGTGCAGGCTTGCCTTTTTTAAAAATATATTTTATTGATTTTTACGGAGAGGAAGGGAGAGAGACAGAGAGCTAGAAACGTCAATGAGAGAGAAACATCAACCAACTGCCTCTTGCACACCCCCTGCTGGGGATGTGCCCGCAACCAATGTACATGCCCTTGACCGGAATCGAACCCGGGACCCTTTAGTCTGCAGACCGACGCTCTATCTACTGAGCCAAACCGGTTTCGGCAAGCTTGCCTTTCTTTCTTTCTTTTTTAAAAATCAACAGATCCACCAGAGATGCAAAAAAGTCACATAAAATTGCAGTTCTTTAGAAACAAGACAGAATGTGCTAGGCTCCAGCAGGAGAGTGTGACATTCACAAACTCAGACTTTTACATGCGAGACACCTTCCATTTGGTCAAGCCATTGTAATCCTGTTACAACATTCAAACCCACAACCTAACGAATCCCCAAACCCAGGCTTTCCCCAATTCCCTGTAGTTTTCACTTTCTTTTTAAAAATGTTTGTTTGTTTATTTATTTATTTTTAATTGAGAGAGGAAAGGAGGGAGAGAAAGACAGAAACATCAATTCATAGGTTCTAGTCGCCTCCCACATGTTCCCTGACAGGATCAAACCCACAACCTGGGAACGTGCCCTGACCAGGAATCCACCTGGCGGCCCTGCCAGCCACTCTGGCCGGGGCACAGCTTTCACTTTTTAAAAGCCACGGAGCCCTGGGTGACAGTGTGGCTCGGTGGATTGAGCGCCGTCCCACTCACCAAAAGGTGATGCGCTCAATTCCTGGCCAGGGCACATGCTCAGGTTTTGGGTTTGACTCTGGCCAGGCGTGTGGGAGGCAACCAATTGATGTTTCTCTCTCTGTGTCTCCTTTCCTTTCTCTCTTAAAAAAAAAAAAAAAAAAAAAAAAAAAAAAAAAATATATATATATATATATATATATATATATATATGGTCATGGAACCTCCCTTTCAAATCTTAGGTAGGAAAGTAATCATACTAAAAACCGCTACAACAGACAGCTTTTACTGAGTGCTCTCTACAGCCAGGCAGTGTGCTGGATGCTTCCCACTCATCACCCACTTGAGTCCTAACAACATACCTAAGTGGGAGATAATAGATCATCCCTTTTATTTTACAGATAAAAAACCAAACAAACCCCCAACGAAAACACCCAAGGCTCAGAGAGGGAAAGGCGCTCACCCAGAGCCCCGCAAGCAGGCAGTGGCGGAGCTGGGCTGAACCGGGGGGAAAGGGGGGTGACCCGAGCCCACCTTCTCCTTCACTCGCTCTATCGAGGAGCCCCAACACCGAGGCAGAGGGGAGGGGAGGAAGGGGCAGCACTGACCTTCCTTGTTCTCCCCCGAGCCCTGCGTGAAGAGCAGCTGGTACTGTCGATTTGGGAAGTTGGCTGGAAAAAACTTACTCATGAAGGGGCTGGAAGAAAAGACAAAGCAGATTGGCAAACAGAGCCCCCGGGGGCAACCATAGACCCAATCACCCAAGAAACAAAAGCAGCAGACTGGCATGTAAAACGGTTTTTAGGAGAGCAACGGATCTCAAAGTCTGGTCCACGCACCGTCTGTACGAGAGTCCCTTGTCAAGAATGCAAATCCCTGGACTCCTTTTCCCACTAAGTGAGATAACCTGATGGTCACCCCGCTCCCTTGACTTGTGAGGCCTAAGACTTTTATGAGCTCGTTGGTCTTGATCAGCGTGGCCTCTTCTCTCGTAATCCAGCACACCCTGCTTCCTGGCCAGGCAAGGAACAGGCATTCTCTCCTGGATCACCCACCGAGCACGATCAGCTAGCATATTGGGCCTCTTGGTGCAGCCTGGGGTGGCCACAAGCTTGGGTGGCCCAGCCCTGAAGCCTAATCTGCCACACACCAGCTGGGTGGCCCTGGGCGAGCCACTTTAGCGGCTCATCTCCTCCGCTGTGTGGGGATACTACCATCTGCCTCAGCTGCGGCTGTGAAGATAGGAGAGAGGGCAGGGAGAAGCGAGGCCAGCAGTGCGTCCACAGCCAGAATGTAAGAGCTGTGAGGTTCCCTCATCACTGGAGCTTGTCTAGGCCCCGAGGTCGAAAGCATTTGGCAATGCCAGATAGCCTGGCATGACTAACGAGGTGGGCAAGTCCAGGACGGTGTTCCCAATGGCGGGTACACGGAGGCAGGCCAAGAGGCAACTCGGGCACAGCGGTAAAGGCGGGGGGAGGGAGCCCTCTCTCTAAGGCCCTGGGGCTCGGAGAAAGGTGCGGCATTAAGAAGGACCTCGGGCTCAGCTTTCCCGCGTGTCAAACAGCCAATCCCTCCCTGCGGCATGAGGAGATGTTGGCAGCCCCAGGATGGAATCGGGAGTGGGCTTCCACAGCGGGCTCTGAGGAGGTGGAGGCGGAAGCTGGGGTGACTGAGGATGATTCAGCTCAGCTTGCTGAGTCACTTTTGGGAAAGTCTAAAGCCTGAGTGTGTGTGTGGAGGCAGAGAGAAGGCCCAAGGAACTAAGCCCTTCACTCCAGTCTGGCCTCTTCCTGAGAAGCTTGATGCTTGCCTTCTCAACCAGCAATTAGGAACATGGACTCTGGAGGCAGACTTCCTGGGTTCAAATCCCAGCTCTGCCACTTATTAGCTGTGTGACCTTGGGCAAGTTACTTAATTGCTCTGTGCAACCGTTTCCTCACTGGGAACACTCCAATATCTTCCTGAGAGTCGCCTGGTGCCAGGAGGCTGCTGGCAAATGCTTGCTCGGAGGCTTCCAAATGCAGACTATTGTTCGAGGCGGTTTTTCTGGTCCTCGATGGCTCACATCAAAGCTAAAGGTCACTGCTTCCTGCTGGGAAACCACATCCTGCTGCCCTCTCCCCTGGGGGCGGAGAGTAAGGGACAGAGACACTGTGACATGGCCGCCTGTTCCTGGCGTGGCACAGTGTGGCTTTCTGACTCCTTTTCTCCTCTAAAGGTGAGCTGGGGGGGGGGGGGGGGAGTGAACTCACAGATGGTACAAATAAGTCAGGTTCCCTGGCAGAGCCTTTCGGCAGGTCTCCTCTGCCGATCCTCAGGAGACCACAGGCCACTGGGAGAGGTGGCTGGCCGACCCCCTCTTTAAGCTCTCTCTTCCCCCTTTCATCCACCCCAGTTTCTGATCCATATCACAGTTTTCAGAGAATAGCTTTGGCCCTGTATAGTGAGAACACCTCTTCTGCCCGTGGTTATCCATTGTTATTTTATTAATAATTTTTTTTTTTGGCCCGGCCAGTGTTACTCTGTGATCGAGTGTCGACCCATGGACCAGGAGGTCATGGTTCAATTCTTGGCCAGTGCACATGTCCAGGTTTCAGATTCGATCCCTAGTAGGGGGTGTGCAGAAGGCAGCTGATGGATGATTCTCTCTAATCACTGATGTTTCTATTTCCCTCTCTCAGAAATAAAAAAAACCACAGGTCTTTAAAATTTTTTTTAAAAAAAATTGATTTTAGAGAGAGAGGAAAGGAGAGAGGAAAATATCGAGTCGTTGTTCCATCCATCCTTGCATTCACTGGCTGCCTCCTGCATGCGCCCCAATCGGGGATCAAACCCGCAACCCTGGCACATCAGGATGATGCTTCAATCAACTGAGCCACCCAGCCAGGGCTTCATTGTTTTCATAAATTCTAATCTTCCCAGGTCATACTTTGTGCTCTAAATTTTATCAAGAAAATGATTCTTCTTTATAAATTGATTGACTTTAGAGAGGTGAAGAGAGAGGGATAAAGAGATAGAAACAACGATGAGAAAGAAACATCGATAGGCTGCCTCCTGCAAACCTCCCACTGAGGATTAAGCCCGCAATCCGGGCATGTGCCCTGACCAGGAATCCAACCACGACCTCCTGGTTAATGGGCCAATGCCCAACCACTGGACCACACTGGCCGGGCAAGAAAATGGTTCTTCTGGTAATGTTTAGTCACTCACAAATCTTACCACGTGCGGTTCTAGCTGCTGTTGGCTCTATTTTCTGTTAATAATTTTTTTTTATCAGTAAAAATTATGAATTCATTAAAAGGCAGGTGGATAACTGTTCTTAAAATAATCCAGGACTAATTTGGGACAATTTTCCTCAGTTATTGTTCCAAAGGGAAATATCATTGAAAAAATAATACAGGTTCAAAATATTGTGTTTGGGCAGTTGGATGGAGCTCTCTTGCAGGGTTATTGAAATAAAAGTGAAATAATCAATGCCTCAGCACATGGCCTACCAGTGGCTTTCAAAATATGTTGTGTTCTCTCACTCTGTGATGGTGGTTGGGCTGTGGGTTTCAAGCTATTCAAAGATGCAGGGGTGGGATTGGTGAGAACTGGAACTGGAATGGGGTTTGGAGTGGGGTAAGATGCTAATCAGGATGGGCCCCAGTGTCTGGAAGTGACTTCCTGGACCCTACCCACTCATGGTCTATCAGGAAGGGAAAGTCTGTCTTTGCGGAAGAATAATTGGGTTTGCCACTATCTTGCTAGGGTCAAATTGCAGAGGTGCCTTTGGTTCTGTAGGACTGGGGCTGGAGGAGAATCCTCCCTAGGTGCCTAAACAAGATTTTGTGGATGAAGGTAGGCATAGTTGAACAACACTGAACTCAGAAGACCGGAGTTCAAGCACCTGCCAGTGTGGCTCAATTGGAGGAGCATTGTCCTGTGTAGCGAAAGGTCACTGGTTTGATTCCCTGCCAGAGCACATACCCAGGTTTCAGGTTCCATACCGGTTGAGGTGTGTGTGTGGGAGGCAACCAATTTTTCTTACAATGGTGTTTCTCTCTCTCCCTTTCCCTTCCTCTCTCTTTAAAATCAACGAGAAAAAGAAAAAAGAAAAAAAAGAAAAAGACCAGAGTTCAAGTCCCAGCTATGATCTTGGGCCAGCAGTTGATTCATGGTGGGCTTGGCACTGTGCTCTAGGCATGTTACCGATTTGTAACATGCTACATCTCTCCCACGCCCCTACCAGGAGGATCTCCATCTTATAGGAGAAAAAGCTGGTGCTCAGAGAGCTGGAGTAGCTTACACAGATCATGGAGCCTGCAGAGCCAGGCCATCTGCCACTGAGCTCACACCCTTGACTGACACTCTTCTGCCCACAACGTGCCTGGAGGAATGAGGCCAAACTCATCGTGGCTTTCAACGTCCTTGTGAGCAGATCCTTCCCTTTTTTCTAGATTCTCTCCGACTGCTCTGGGAAGGTCCTCACTGCCCCCTCACCAGGCAAAGACTTTGCAGCTCCTGGCCTCTCCCTCCTTCACACCTCTGCCAGATTTCCTACCTTCCAAGCCCAGTTCCAGTTGCATTCCTTCCTTTTGGAAACTTTCCCTGGCCGGCTGCCCACCTCATGATCTATCAGTGATTCTCAGCCTGAGACACTACCACTTCCAGGGGCCAGATGGAAACAGATGGGGGCGCTCTCGTGGTTGGGCTGGGGGCACACTCCCATTTGGTAAGAGGGCGAGGACGGCCAAACGTTTACAATGCACAGAGAACTGGCATGTTCGGTTCCCAAATGCCAGCAGCAGCGCCCCCTGCGGGTCACTGCCCAGGTCCTTCACCACCATGAACTGACACCAGCGTGCGGCCATCTCAGCGGGTGACAGCGGGAAGAGGACGGGCTCTGGGGCCACACAGACCTGGCTCTGAGCCTTGGCTCTGCTGCTTATCAGCTGTGTGGTCTTAGCCACTTGGTTAACCTTTTTGCCCTTTAACTTCCAAATTAACACAGGATTAAAAGCAAAAGCTAACCGTATAAGGTTTTCTGGCAGGTCAGCGCAATAATTATAAGATTTAGCAGTTATTGAGCACAGGAAGTGCTCAGTGACAGATCCTGTGATAAAAGCTTTCCACACGACCATGAGGAAGGGTACTAGTATTTCCCTGCACATTCAGGTGAGGGGATGGAGGCCGGAGAGATGAAGTAACTTGCCCAAAGTCACAGGGATATTAAGTGGCAGAGTCTGGATTCAAAGCCAGGCAGTCAAATTCCAGAGCCTGCGCTCCTACCTTCTCACTCGCCGCCCTCCTCGTGAAATAAGATCACGTGGGAGGCGCCCTGCATAGTGCCTGGCGCGGCGGGCTCTCACAGCTGGCAGGGACACTGTGATAGTAACATGACATCACTGCCCACAAATACTACTTTCCCAGCGGCCGGGGGCACTCTCATCACTCCCTTAAGGAAACTGTGGCCCAGAGAGGTTAGGATTCTTGTCCTAGGTCTCCCACAGGGTCACACGGGGAAAGATTCCCTTGGGTCTCTCAGCCAGGATTCAAACCTGGCTCCGAATGATGCCAAAGGTCAAGTTCTCATCCAGGAGCCTGTACTGGCTCCTGAAAAAGACGCTCCAAAGGCTGCAGAGATGCCTTCTGACCTGATGGTGTGGGACAGGGCCAGGATTCCAAGCACGAAGAAATACATGGACAGCAGGAGGTTGATGTACTCCTGGGAGAATATCTGAGGAGGAAATACAAAGAGAAACAGAAAGTCAGGGCTGCCGGCGGCTGGCAGGAAACCGGAGTCGGCACTTCTCTTCTGAAGGCTGGTCACGCCCCTCTGCAGTTGGGCACAGCATCGGGGAGAATCTGACAGCGTGGGGGACTGTTCAGTTTCTGTGGCCATGGGGAGAAAGAGAGGACCACCAGATGCACCTCCAACGGAGCCTGTGGGTCTGCACTTGGTGGCCCCTTTACCTGGAGACAGGCAACATTAGGTTGTGTCTGCAGAGGAATCGTGGGGGAGGCACAATCTGAGGTTCAGAGTCCCAAGAAGGCAGGCTGGACCTAAGGAGGTACCCTCCAGCTTCCTTCTCCACGGTCCTGAGACGCTCGTACGAGTCACCTGCCCCACATTTCCCATCACACCCCCCGGACAGCTGCTCCAGGGTGATGCCGGAGTCATGGCAGCCAGCGCTGACAGCTGCTGCTGGTCTTATGGTGTTAGTGACCCCGAGAAGCTTCTCTCTCACAGAGCCCCAAAGTCACCGTCGCATGCTCATCCTAGACTTCGGGAAGGCTCTGCCAAGTTCTGCCCCACTCACGGCATCATCTTTCGAAGTTGTTATCAGGAAGGTCTCTCACTATTAGGGAGGCAATAACGTGCTGCCGTGTGGGCCTCAGGGCCTCAGGGCCGCTGGGCTCTCCCAAGCGGGGCTGTTCTGGAATCTGTTGTTCCCTGCCCATCTGATCAGGTGGCTCCCTGCTGACGGCCTCTCCTCGGCAGCTTCCCCTGGCTCTCACAGCCCAGCGCCTCCATCCTCACTGTGGCCTCAGGCCCTCACGGTGACCACGGCAGACTGCTCGGCTGCAGCCACACCACGGCCGCTCCTGCTCTACACGCCGCCCGGATGCTCCCTCCTCTCACCGAGGCCAACGCCACTCACCGTTCTGCTCTCAGCTCAGAGCAGCTTTCCTTGGCATGGCGAGGAAACTCCTCACTAACTCAGCTCACGTTTACTGCCTCCTATGCGCAGGGCATCATGCTAACCACGGGGATTCAGCGAGGAACGAGGCAGAAAGGTCCCTGCCTCACGGAGTTCACGTGCCAGCGAGGGAGAAGAAGCTCAAGAGAAACCCACGTGCACTCTAACGTCAGGGGGAGCTGGGAGCCAGGAAGAAAAGCTGGCAGGGCGAGCAGATGGAGAGAGAAGAGGGGAGGGCTGGTGTTTAGACAGGAGGCCAGGGAAAGCCCCCCTAACAGGACAACACTCACTTCTTTGGGGACAGAACCCTTAATGACGGGAACAGCTGTGAGGATATTTGGGGGAAGAGCATTCGAGGTAGAAGGAGGGTGAGTGCAAAGGTCCTGAGGTAGGACCATGCTTATGTGTGCAGGGAACAGCGAGGGCCTGAGGCTGGAGCTGAGAGCAAGGGGAGGTTGTCAGGGGACGAGGCTGGGGAGGCAGGAGGGAGACACGCTCTGCGGGCTGTGGATTCATCTGGGTGGCAGGCTGGGGTCGGAGGACCATGCTGTGAGGGCCTGGGAGGATCCCTCTGCTGCCGTGGGGAAGACAATCTACAGCGTAAAAGTGGAAGCAGAGCCCGGGAGGAAGGCGCTGCATTATCCCGCGGAGGGAGGATGGTGCCCTGGGTGGATGCAGGGACGTGAGCAGCAGTGGTCAGATGCAGATGTGTTCTGGAACTGCAGCTGCAGGATGTGCCGAGGGGCTGGCTATGAGGCTGAGAAGCAGTGGTTTTGGCTGAGTGGCGATGTGTATGGGGGTGCTGCTGTCTAATATGGAGGGGCTGGGCAGGAGCAGGGGCTCACTCCAGGACGGTCCTGTGCTTCCCTGGTGCTACAGACCTTGTCTTCACAGACATACGTTTACCTATGTGATCACGTATGAGTGTCTGTCTCTACCACTTGACAAGAAACTCCTTGAGGGCAGGGATGGGTTGCAGGTTTTCCTCACTCTGGTGTCCCCAGCACCTCGCACAGGGCCTGGCGTGTGCCGGCGCTCTGTCAATGTTTATAGGATGAGTGGACGGATGGGCGAATCCGTGTCCTGCATTGTGAACGCTGTGAGGAAAAGACCTATGAACACAGACACGTGGATTGTGTTTTACTTGGTGATGTGGTGTACCTCTCACACTGAAATATACTCTTTCAATGAGGCCCTTGGGAAAATGTCTCTCTGGCTGCACCTTTGAGCTTCTGGTTGGCCTGACCATGTGGACTAGGAACTGTGCACCAAGCCTTGCTTTCTTTGTGCGCTGGCTGCCAGAAAGTTTAATTTTCATGAGCTGCCTCAAAGCAACCAGTTTTGGATGAGATAGGATCAAGTAAATTTTATGATTTGAGCCGAAACTGGTTTGGCTCAATGGATAGAGCGTCGGCCTGAGGACTGAAAGGTCCCAGGTTCGATTCCGGTCAAGGGCATGTACCGTGGTTGTGGGCACATTCCCAATAGGGGGTGTGCAAGAGGCAGCTGGTCGATGATTCTCGCTCATCGATGTTACTAACTCTCTATCCCTCTCTCTTCCTCTCTGTAAAAAAAAAAATCAATAAAATATATTTTAAAAAAAATTTGTGATTTGAGAAATGTTATAAACTCCAGTGCCACAATCAGGAGAGGAGCAAAGGGGCAGAGAGACAGCCACTGTTAAACAGACCAACCAGCCAGCTGTCAGCCCGGAACTCGGGAGGAGGCTGGTGGCTGTGTGTCCAGGCAGCCGCCTTTCAGAAATGTCGACGTGGACGTTGAGACGCGGGGGAGAGGTGGACTGAGTCCTCTGGCACAGGCCGGCCAGGGATTGCCTGCCAGGGGAGGACAGGCTGACCAACGAGCAATCGAATCCAGTGCCTGAAATAAAAATGCGCACACCTCTGCTGCCAGAACCCCTTCCTGGGAACCTGCCTAGGAAAGGAAGCCTAAGGACTAAAAATGCTGGAAGGTCTTAGGCAAGGCCCTGGCTGTGTGTTCCTGACACTTAGCACATCAGAGACCTGAGAGGTATCTGCTAAAAGCAAGGTCAGCGGCAACGGCTAAATGTACACAGAGCCCCAGAGAGATCTCAAAGGGACAGGGGAAAGCGAAAGGAAACAGGCAGATGTATTGCACAACTCTATGGAAACCAGACCCTCATCAATACACACTGAGGCACCAGCACCATGTTTTTTACGAGGAGACACACATCTAAGGACACAAATCAAACCATTAGAGCAGTACCTTTGGCAGAAGGAGAGATGGAGGTGGGAAATGGTGGTGGGCACCAGGGGTACATGGGAGACTGGGGCAAGGGGGCAAAGAGGGGGACCTGGCATGAATTGACGCTATTGTGCTATGACCCAAAGCATTTGATAAATGCTTCACCTGAGGTCCAGGAAAAAACAAAACAAAACAAAAAACAACAAACAACAACATAAAAAACAAATACAAAATGGATAAATACCTATTGTTACTCAAGTCACTCTTATTTATTGGTAAGAGTAAAAATCCAAATGAGCCGAAGCCGGTTTGGCTCAGTGGTAGAGTGTCGGTCTGCGGACTGAAGGGTCCCAGGTTCGATTCCGGTCAAGGGCATGTACATTGGTTGCGGGCACATCCCTGGTGGGGGGTGCGCAGGAGGCAGCTGGTCGAAGTTTCTAGCTCTCTATCTCTCTCCCTTCCTTTCTGTAAAAAATCAATAAAATATATTAAAAAAAAAAATCCAAATGATTTTTTTCTGTTTAAAGTGAGGGGGATGATATAAGTCAACCATGGTGGGCAGGCTTGGGGGGTGGGGGAGATATTCTAAAACCCTTAAAAAGAGTAGTTCTGATCCAAAAATGTGGGAGCAATGGACCAGGAAACAGGCTTCAGCAATTCCATTTTTACTGGTAAAATCAAAGACTCTGGCTGCAGCCCAATGCAGGTGAGGGTACAGGAAAGCCAGCACGCTTGGGACTGTTGGAGGGAACGTAAAAATGGTACCACCTCTTTGGGTGGATGTGGTACTATCTGTCCAAATTACAAACAGAGTCGCTATTTGAGCTGGTAATCCTATTGCAGACACCCTTGTCAATACAAGCATGTGCCAGGATAAGTGCGTGAAGGTGTTCCTGGTGGCACTGAAAGGATGCCCAGCACTCAGGACACACCACAAGCAGCTGTTACAAAGAACGAGGCAGATTTAATTGTCTTGACACAAAAATATCTCCATGATAAAAATTGTATAATGTTTGAAACATATTTGTTTTTAAATTTTAACATAAATATAGAGCTATACAATCTTTTATGTGAAGGTTCATAGAAAACTATATTGAGGAGAGGATTATGGCTCATTTACACCTACTCTTATCGATAGATTGAAAAAGTTTTTAACCGTGGACATGGTACTTTGAAATTGTAAGTTAAAGGTTGTCCTTGAGGAATTTTCACTGATCAGTCCAAAAGTGCTTGTGATGTACTATTAAAAAATATGCTTATCAGAAGCCTGAAAGGAGGGATTACATTTGTGTATTTCTCTTGATATTTTCCCTTCCTTTTCTTTAAGTTTTCTATTTATATTACTTTTATAATTAGAAAATGAGTTATATTAAATATAGTTTAAGGAGAGTTTGCAGTAACACGAGGAAATGCTTACGATGTTGTTAACGGGAAGTGAAAAAAGCAGCTACGAAACTGAATACACCACATGGGCACAGTTACGGCAAAGCCATGCACGGGAGAACAGTGGAAGGACACACCTCAAAAGAAACTCTGTGACTGTCTCTGGAAGAGGGGTTTTGGATGACTGATGTTTTTCCCTTTTTACTTTTCTGTGTTTTCCAGGTTTTCAACACTGAACCTGTGTAACTTTTATTAGGAAAATAAACCTTGATAAATTAAAAAAAAAAAGCAATTAGTAGAGGTAGAGGTATGTCTGAGACACAAGCTATACCCCATCCCAACATAAATAGCACCGTGAAACCAAACGGGTATCATGCAAAAAACCCCAAAAAGCTTCACGCAGAAAAAAAGGCAAGATTGGTGGGAAACAGCCCCAAACAATGTGGCTGTCTCTGGGAAGTGGGTCCAGGGGTGAATTGTAAGGATTTTTTCCTGCTCTTCATTTCCTATAAGTGGACATGCATGTCTCCTGGGATGGAAAAAATAAAACAAAAGGACGTAAAGTGACTGAAATCAAATGACACAGCAGGTGGCAAAGACTTACTTTGAAGAAGAGGTAGAGCCCCAGGAGCGTGCAGCTGGCGATGATGGGGAAGCGGGCGGCATCCCGGCTGGTGATGGTCTCAGGCATGTCCGAGGCGTTCTAGAGGAGAGAACAGAGGGCCCACTGAGCAGAGGTGGTTCTGCCTCCTAGCGCTGGGCACTGGCGAGGAGCTGATGCCCCAGGAGCTCATTAACCTTCTCCCCCCCCCTCCCGTTCAATCAGGTGCTCCAGGAGCCCCGTGTTTTCTTAACTCCAGGCTTTGTTAAGGCTGTTCCCTCGGCCAGGGGTGCTGCCCAGCCACTTGGGGGAAGATGCTCTGATGCCACTATCTGTCAGTGAGGAAATCTAAACCCTTACAGGGAAAGCCCAGGGAAGACCCGTGCAACATGTAGTTTATCTGGGGAGAAGATCTATGGCAGAGGCAGCCAATAGGAACTGAAAAACAACAAAAACCAAAAACCTTGGAAACTGGTTACAACAGACCTGTTCTAGAACTCATGAGAACGATTTCCAATTTTCTTATGGATTAGCTAAGAGGTAAATATGATTCATCTCTTATCCAGCAGGTCGAGTGGAAATAAACCAACAACCAACAAAACGGACGATGGCTGGACCCACACATGGGAAGGCACCAACCATGAGAAGCATCTTTTTTTTTGTGTGTGTGTGTGTGGTAATCCTCACTGGAGGGTATTTTCCCATTGATTATTCTTGGAGAAAACGAATGGAAGGGAGGGGGAGAGCCAGAGAGAAACATCGATGTGAGAGAGACATAGGTTGGTTGCTTCCTGCTTGAGCTCTGAGTGGGACAGGAGCCTGCAACCGAGGTACGTGCTCTTGACCGAATGGAACCCAGGACCCTTCAGTCCGCGAGCTGACGCTCTATGACTGAGCCAAACCAGCCAGGGTGAGAAGCGAATCTTGACAACACTTAAAACTTAAGAAATTTGGGAAAACCGCCGAAACCGGTTTGGCTCAGTGGATGGAGTGTCGGCCTGCGGACTGAAAGGTCCCAGGTTCGATTTCGGTCAAGGACATGTACCTTGGTTGCGGGCACATCCCCAGTAGGGGGTGTGCAGGAGGCAGCTGGTCGATGTTTCTCTCTCATCGATGTTTCTAGCTCTCTGTCCCTCTCCCTTCCTCTCTGTGAAAAGTCAATACAATAAAATATATTAAAAAAGAAAAAAAAAGAAGAAGAAAAAAAAAGAAATTTGGGAAAACGAATCTGGTAAGAGTGAAAGCCACAACTAAATTTACAATGGCAGATGCTGTAGTTGGCAAGAATGTGATCTGGGTAAAGAGCTGACAGAAGATAAATGTTTACATGAAAAAGAACTGAATGCAACAAAAATGATTTCAGAATTATAAATATGGAAAAACTGGAAATGGAGTAATAGTGCAACACAGGAATTAAACAGCTCTGTAGAATTCATACCAAAAGACTCTCCAATGAAAATTCATCAGCCAAAACTGGTTTGGCTCAGTGGTAGAGCGTCGGTTTGCGGACTGAAAGGTCCCAGGTTCGATTTCGGTCAGGGGCATGTACATTGGTTGCGGGCACATCCCCGGTAGGGGGTGTGCAAGAGGCAGCTGGTCGATGTTTCTCTCTCATCGACGTTTCTAGCTCTCTATCCCTCTCTCTTCCTCTCTGTAAAAAATCAATAAAATATATTTAAAAAAATAAATAAGTAAAAATAAAAATTGTATTGATTTAAAAAAAGAAAAGAAAAAGAAAACTCATCAATCGTAGAATATTAAAAACACAAAGTGAGGAGCGTTCGGAATCACCCTGCTCGCTCTCCATGCCCTTTGCTAGGCCAAACCCTCAGTCTTCCAGGACCCAGCGAGTGTCCCTGCCATGAAGCTTCTCCAGATCCCCCACTGGGGTAAGCCTGCTCCGCAACGGCAATCTCACTGCACTTTACGCCTAATTCTATTTTATGTCCTAGCCACTGAAGGTCCTAGCAACACCAGATGAGACTTCTGCTCATGCCAAAGAGAAGTTCTCTTCACAAGAGCCTCACTCGTCAGGGCGCCTGAGATTCCACCATCACGCCCATCCTGTGACTAAGGCACCAGCATCCCTAAGAGAAGGGATCATGGTCAGCTGCAGCCTCGTTAACACTTTGGCTCACAGCTGCCTCTGAAAAGCCAGCAGGGCAGAACAAACTAAGCGGAAGCTGCCGGGAGAGGTATCTGGCCCAGGGAGGCCCTCACACATCACGGTGGAAGGTCTCAGAGGGCGAAGGAGATCGGGGCACAGGGCAGGAAGCCCAGGAAATGGTCACTAGGAGATGGAGGGGTGGTGAACGGGGATGCTTACATGTCACTCATTTGTGTACAAACTGGTCCTCTAGGGGAGGGCCCCTAGGAAGGTTTGTCAAATTGTAGCCTGCACATGGTCAAGACACAAGGAGACCCACAGATCAGGAACTACAAACGGTTCTTAATCACAGGAAGAATGTTCATCTTTACTCTTTTTTTTTTTTTTTTTTTTTTTTTTTTTTTTTAAATCCTCACCTGAGGATATTTTTCCATTGATTTTTAAAGAGAGAGTGGGAGAGAGAGGGAAAGAGAGAGAGAAAAACATCAATGTGAGAGAAACACATTGACTGATTGCCTCCTGCTTGAGCCCTGACCAGGGCCAGGGCTGGGGAGGAGCCTGCAACTTAGGTATGTGCCCTTGACTGGAATCTAACCTGGGACCCTTCAGTCCACAGAGCCAAACTGGCGAGGGCCATCTTCACTCTTAATAAGAGAAGCTCAAAGCACAGTACACTGAGATTCCATTTTTTATCATCAGTATGGCGAAATCCACATTTGACAGTACACTGAGTTGGTGAGGCCGTGGGGAAAACGGCTGACCCTCACTACTGACAGGTCTTCCCATAGAGAGCACATTGGCCAATAGCTGCCGAAAGCACACATACCCTTTGACCAAGCTATTCCACTTCTGGGAATTTCCCCCACATTCTAACTCATACATGTGCACGATCAGGCAGATGAAGTACAGCCAAGGCAGTCATTGCTCTCTTAACGGCCTGCGGGGTGACAGACAAATCGCTTCCACATCCGTCAAACTCACTTCTGAAAGGGGCGAGGGGCTTAGACCAGATGAGATGTGGGATGTGTGAGAGCCTGGCAGATGGTACAGTGCTATGAACACGAGGAGCTGTGATCATCAGGGAGGCCCCCTCATCCAACCCCACACAGGCATGGCTGAGAGCCCAGGCACAGGGCTACAAGGAGCAGCCTCCTCTGGAGCCCCGGAGGCAGCTCTGGGGGAGTCACTCTCTGGCAGCCTTGCTGGGAGGAGGGTGGGGGGGGGGAGCGACACTGGCACTGAGAGGCAGAGTTATCTTCCCCCCCTCTTCTCTCTCAGCCCTTGGTTTCTGCTTTTGGCAGGAGTGTGCTTGGGGACTGGGCCAAGTTCCTCACCTGCTCTGTGTACCTCCACCAATTGTTTCCTGTGTAGCAGGAGTGTGAGCACACACTCAAAAAAAACAACAACACCCCCACTCCCAAACTGGCTCCTAACCTCAGAGTTCACAGGTGAGTTGGCCAAGACCTTGGCAATAACAGAATATCACCATCCGTGGTGACACGTGACAAAATAAGACACGTATGCATGTCTGGTACGTGGCACACAGGCCAAATAGTTGAGAAGCTCTGATGTCAGAAAGCTCAGTCTGCTTCCTGCTCTGCCTCCCCAGCTGTGGGACCTTGGGAGGTACGGTCTCAGAGCCCCCACCTCCTCAGCTGTAGTATGACTTGTCAGGAGACTAGGATTTTGCACTGGAAGTATTCAGTGCTGAGCCTTGAACACGTCATTCAAGCTGTCTAAATACTTTATATTACATACAAGGGGATCGTGAGAAAGCAGACAGACACTACTTCTGCATGGAAGCAGGGGCGTGTCAGTAGTGGCTGGAGCAGATGCCACTTAAGCAAGACCTTGAAGGCCAAGCACCCTGGTGTGAAAGCATCCAGGGGACTCTGGCTTCGCCTACCAACGTTAGGGCTTATTTCCACACATTCCTTTCATTTCAGCCCAGGATCCTGGGCGGGAAGAGGCTTCGTGTCATTTGATGACGAACCAGGGTCGAACAGATGCTCCACCATCCAAAGGAATCAGGTCTCCTCCTGATTATAAATAACCCACGCCGTAACGCTGAGTCAGAATGGGAGACTTGAAATTTGACCGACAGTAACAGCATAAGGATAACATTTACTGAGAGCTTTCTAGGGGCCAAGCACGGTTTTAGGCCTTTTACACGACTTTATCCTCACAAAAACCCTACCAAGCAGGTATGCTTAGTAGCTCCATTTTACAGATGAGGAAACTGAGGCTCAGAGAGGTGAAATGACTTGCTCTGAGGTCACAGAGCTCGCAAGCAGCAGAGCCAGGATTCACACTGGGGCCATCTGGTTCCAGAGCCCAAACTCTTGGCTATTACTCCCTAGGTACCCTCTCCTTCCCTATCTAGAAATTTCTGCTGGGAAGTTGTGACAAGATGCTCAGGGAGCCTGAGACCTTTCTGAGGAACAGATCCTGGCAACAGAACAGTTAAACCTCATAGTTACAGAAACACTAAATGTTGTTAGGATTCTCTCCTAATTCAATTTGGGATTGTTTTAGACCAGACACTCCTATGCGAATGCAATAGCTCCTGACACGTGAAACATAACTAGACGCTGACACAATTTTAGTTTCCAGTGACATGCTGGATGTTCAGCTATCAGGGCGGAAGCAAGAGCAGTGAGGAGAGACAGATGCCCGGCTTCCAGCCAGGCCCTACAGACGCTCTGGGACTCATGGACATTCTGTGACTGCCGCTCCAGCTGCAGGCTGAGGGTCTTCCCTCCTCGCTACGCCGCCCACTCACCTACCCTGCCACAATCCTCTTCCTAAGTGTTTCCTGAACGAACCCCTCACCCCAATCCTTTGCCTCCAACCACCTCACCAGCTCTTTCCCTTTCTCCCTCTGCCCTGCCAGGAGCGCTTTCTGAAGCTTAGACCTGATTGTATCACCTACCTGCGCAAACATCCCGGCTAAAGGACACTCAGCAGTCATTACACAGGAATCCAGGATATTGGTGGTAGGAGTCTACAGTGGTCTAACCCCTCTGGTGGATAATTTAGTAAAGTTAAAACACTTTGCCTTTAACCCAGCGAATCCATTTCAAGAAATTTATCCTACATATACACTGACAAGTGTGAAATGACTGTACGAGATTGATTCCAGCCTGGCTTGTAACAGCAAAGGGCTGACACAACCTCAGCGAACCTCGGAGGACTCCTAAGTCAGGGTTCTCACACTCCAACACACACCGGATGCACCAGCAGGGCTTGTGAAGGCAGACTGCCGGCCCACCTGAGTTTTTCATTCTGAATTTGCATTTCTCAGCCCAAGTAACAGGTCTGCGCTGCGAAGGCCACAGCACAGCTGCCCGCTGGGGGCAGAAGCCACCCTGCTGAGGGCGGCGTGGAGGGTGCTAGTTCCATTCAGCCCCAGGCCCCAGCCCTTGGGCTGCTGGGTGGAGGGTGCGCTTGCTTCCATCTGACCCCGGGTCCTCCCCTCGCCTCCCAAAGGTCTTGCCTGCCAGTCGCCTGCGGATATGCCATCTAGAAACCAGTCCGGCCCAGCCAAGACAACCTGCCCCTTCCATGCTGCTCAGATTACCAGAATGTCCTCGAATTCAAGAAGGCTGATGTCGAGAAAAAATTCTTGTCTTTGGGAAAGGTGAACCGGAAGAAGCTAAAAATCAAGTAACAATAACAAAAATCACACACACACACAAAAAAAGTCTAGCAAGAACAACTGATGAACAAGACTGTGGCAAACCCTGAGGACACCAGCTCCCGGGAGGCCCGAAGCGTAGTCTGCCTGTCAGGATCCGCGATTATGAAGAACAAATGTAGAAACATTGAAGGGACGCTGCCCACAAGCACTCTCTGCTGCTGAGCACTGCTCAGAGGAAGACGACGCCCAGAAACCTCCCCGAGACCACCTGATGTCTTGAGAAGCTGCGCACGGAGCTGGGGATCGAGCACACCTGTCCCCGCTGTCCTTCCCGAAAGCCCACTGCAGCGGGGCCACCGAGAAGGCCCTGCACAGCCGGGTTTACCAGGAGGTTTAAAAGCCGAAGGAGCAACCAAGGGCTTGAAAAGCAGCAGCAGCCCGGAAACAAGGCCAGATGAACCCAAAAGCTCTTCCAGAGCCCATCAAGGAAAACCAGTAAATTCTGTTCAAGCTGAATGCGGGCCACGGGCTGAGCGCCCCTCTGTTCTTCTGGAATTCCGTACCATGGGCGTTATTACCCACTCTCCCTGCCACGGGACAATGAGGTAGATCCATGCGTACAGACATAGGAAAATGACCAAGACATTGTTAAAGAAAACACACACACATACACACACACACACACACAATTAAGTTGCAGAGCATTATATGCCTTATAAAGCTTAATTTTTAGAAAAACAAATTTACCTATGGATAGACACAAGGGCACACACATATGTTTGTATAAACACAGAAAAAGTTCTGGAAGGTTACACACCAAACAGCCAACTGGGTTACTTCCAAGGAGTGGCACTGAGAAGCCTTTTCCTTTCATTTCTGCATGGTTTGAATCCTCCCCTTCACCAAGAGCTACTGTGCAGTACTTGTGAAGATTAACTGTGAAGATTAACTGTTACACTGTCTTCAGGATTCAGTACCTCAGAAAGCCTTTAGGCTCCCTAAGTATCTTCTTGTCCCCATCCAAGCCCCTGCAATGGGCCCATGTCACACTGCTCCGGTCTCCCCTGTGGTCCGGGGCCTCCCTCTCTTCCTGTACCTCCTGCTGAACCTTACCCTCCACACAGAGACAACTGCTGTCAGCTCGAGGCACAGCAGCATTCCGTTTAGCTGGCTGGTCGCACATGTGTTTGTCTTTGGTGAGTGAGCACTGTGAGGGCAGGGCTTGGCCTTCTCTGTTCTGGCAGTACTGGTACCCAGCCCAGGGCCTAGCACAGAGCAGGAGCCCAGGGCAGTCGGCGGAGGGGCTCCTGGGAGTTACAGGCTAAGCGCCTTTGGAGGAACCTGCTGTGCAGCTACTGCTGGGCCTGGGATCTGCTCTTTTCTGGGAACGCAGGTCTCTGACAGGGATGGGAACCCATGCCTGCTTCCTCCTGGATGCCCCACTCTCTCCTGCTCCTCACTTCATTAATTTGCCATGCCTGTTTTGTCCTCACACGCCCTCTCTCAGCTGGCTTTGGGGTTTAACACTGATGGGAAATCAAAACTCTTGATCCCCCATATTGACTTTCCCCTCTCCCTGCCAAATGACGGGGAAGCATGACTCAGGGCAGAAAAAGGAAGTCCTCTGGCCAGTCCTTTCTCTAGGCCAAAATGCCACATGTGTATCATGCAGGGGCACCCACATGGGATTCTGTATTTAGGGCACCTGTGTGTCAGGAGAGGGCCCCAGACCAGGACTAGCAGCATCCAGTTCTGACGCTATCTGGCAGAGTGAGCTTGAGAAGCCATTTCTTTGATCTTCAGCTTCTTTTTCTGTTCAACGGGATAATAAACCTGGCCCTGCTCGCCACACTCGGTTTTGGGGAGAATAAAAGAAGGTGAAGGCCTCGTAAGCTTTAGACTATCCTAGTGGTGGGAGGCCACCGAGTCAGGATCAGGCTCTTTACAGCTTCATGCACTGTCTTCCAACCCCTGCTGTCCCGCAGGAGATGCTGTGGGGAGGTATTTGAGGCGACAGTGCCTCTAAGCTCTCTGCTATCCAGACCCTCTGCTCCAGCCACACCACCTTCCAAGGTGCCTCGCACCCCCCTTACCTGGATTCCTCATTCCTAGAATGTCTTCTCAGCACAAAACTGCCCTGCCCTGCCCCAGGTGTGCCCAGCCTTTCTCCTTACACCCTGAGCTCTACCTGTAGTGCGGCCTCGGAGCGAGTTCCTCCTCCCTTGTCCAGACACCTGAACTCCCCGGTGACAGGGCTCAGAACCGCTCATCTCGGCGGCGTCCCCACACCCTACACACCGGGAGGGTGGGAGTTCGGGAGATTTTGTTGCCTGGAAGGTGTTTTCTGAAGAGAGGAGTGATCCCTCTGCAGAGAAGCTGCCAAGAATTGCTCAGTTTTGGGAGCCCCTCAGATAAACTGCCCAGCGTACACATGCTGCCCCTCACCTCCTTGGTCCTGGCCTATTTCAGAACTTCTCCCTGCACCAAAGTGTCTGCCAGAAGGCAGTGTTAGGAGGGCTGAAGGCCACTGAACTCTGCTTAAAGGTAAATGGGGGAGGGGGGCAATGTTAAAATTTGTACATAGATAATAATTTAATAAAAAAAAAAAAAAAAGGAAAAAAAAAAAAAGAGGAAAATGGGGCCACCCTTCCTGCCTCTTCCCCTCGGCATCAGGCCACAGAGAGAACCCGCATCTTGGGGAAGTTAAGGTGGCAGGCCTCAGCCACTGCTCAAGCTGGGTGGTTTCAAGAAGGTGGGTATGAGCAATTTCAAAAGTGGCAGTTGCTTTGCGGGCCTGCCCTCTGGGGGTAAGGCAGCTTCCGCTAAGGTCCACTTCAGGTTTGGGTGGGGGGCTGCAGAGCGGGAGGCCGTGGAGGGGACTGGGTGCCAGGAAACGAGAAGCCATTGGTACGGTGGGCTAGAGAGGGCTTACTTCAGGGAAGGGTGGGAGCAGGAAGAGAGGGAGTGGTTGGTATCCAAGGGCACAGGTGCTGAGGAAAGCCAGGGGTGTGGTCTGGCCAGTCTCACTCGGGGTGCCAGCAGCAGCACAGTTACTCAGCGGGTAGGCCATTTGATGGAGGGGCTGTCTTGGGTGCATAAGGAGAAAGGCTACTTTGAGGTAGGATCTACCATGTTTTCCCGAAAATAAGACCTAGCGCCTGGAAAGATAGACATCCCCTGAAAAATAAGACCTAGCGCAACTTTGGGAGAAAAAATTAATATAAGACACTGTCTTATTTTCGGGGAAACAGGGTAGGCTCAGGTAGGACAAGGTTAGCTATCAGGGAGAGGAACCCAGTCAAATAAGGTGTCTGCACCTGGTTAAACAGGGAGGCACCAAGTTGCCAGGTACTGAGGGGCTGGCCGGAAAGTGATGTGAAAAACTGTAAGCTGGGGCTCTACTCCTAGGTTTTTAAAATTTAAAAAAAAAAAAAAAAAAAAAAAAAAATATATATATATATATATATATATATATATATATATATATATATTTTTTTTTTTTTTTTTTTTTTTTTTTTTTTTTTTTTTTTTTTTTTGAGACAGGGACAAGGGCCTGATGTGAAAATCCTGGGAGAGCACACTACAAGCCACGGATTCCAATTGGACAGGTGTCCGAGTCCAGGGCTGGGCCTGGATGCCAGACAATGCCCTGGGATGGGGTGTGGCAGGGCTCCTGACAGAGGGATGACACGAGACTGTACCCACTCATGAGTCCTCAGGACCAGCGCCCCACCAGGGTCAGGGCGGGTGGAAGCGGAGCCGGGATGGGGTGACTGCCTCAGAAGGGATGAACAGCCTGAGAGCAGAGGCTGGGCTGGGCTGGGTCTAGTTGGCCCAGAACAATTGGTACCGGAATCAGAGTGAGGGTCGGCTGACAGCGCTGGCACCCAGGCCCCAGGCGGGGGGAAGGGCCAGCAGCCGGACCGCGGGTCGGGCCCGCCCGGAGGCTGCAGCGCCCAAGGCCATCGCGGGAGGTGGGCCAGGGGAGGAGAGAGGGGGGGATCGGGCGCAGGGAAAGGAGGCGTCTGTCTCTTCCACGGCGGGCGGGCGGGCCCCTGCCAGCCGCCTCCCGCGTGGGGGTGGAGAGACCCGCTTCGCCGCCGCCCTACCTTGCCGCGGGCGCAGCGCACGGAGCGCAGGGCGCCGAAGAAGATGGGCAGCAGCGCCATGAGCAGGAGGCTGCCGTAGGCCAGCGCGATGCCCTCGGGCGTGGAGGGCGGCCGCGCGGTGCCGTTGGCCGGGCTGCCGGCCTCGGCGCTGGCGTTGTGCGGGTCGCTGAGGGCTGAGTCCATCACGAAGCCGCGCTCCGGGTCCGATTCCAGTTCCGGCCTCTGCATCGGGAGATGGGCACTGCGGGGAAAGCCACGTTCCCCTAAAGAAACAGGAAGTGACGTGCCTCCCGCGCCGCCGGGGCCGCGCACGCGTGCACGTCTCCCCGCCCGAGCGCCCTCTAGCGGGGGCGAGGGGCCCGGCGGCCGGTTGCTAAGCAACTTGGTAGGACGAGGTCAAGAAAGGATCACTAAGACCCCTGCGGTGGGCATCCGTGCTGAGAGAGACCCTATTCTCAGCCTCAGTGGACTTCCTCAGTCCGCCAGTCTGTCCTCAAGATCCTAAACCTCATAACTGGGAATTTATTTACTCACGCATGCATTCATTCAGTGTTCCATTGTTCCTTCTCTCCTTAAATATCTGAATATCCCATTCATTACGTGCCAGGTACTGTCGTAGGCTCTGAGGACACAGAGAAGGAATAATGGTAGGGGGGAAAATAGAATATTGGGGACTAGCTATAGTTATAAGAAATTATTAATCTTGCTGTGTTAACCGTGATGGCCTTGTTCTGATGGAAGAAAGGACCTTCTAACCCGACTGGGAGTTGTACGCCCCCGGGACCTGGGAGTCAACTTTAGACCTGCAGTCAACCTCGGACCTGGGAACCAACTGGGAATGTGGTCCCTTCCCATTCAAGAACTGCCTAATATCATCGAAGGATTAATGACCTTATTGCCCGAACAATGGAGTCCCACCCCAGGGCAAATTGCATACTTCCTCACACGTGTAATCCCTGTGTAATCCCTACTTCCTCTTCTTTGTCCTTCTACCCAATATAAGCAGCTGGCTTAAGGAAGGCTGCTGAGCAGATTTCTGTGGATGACCTGCTGCTCTCCCTTTATGCCGGCAGTATCAGAATAAAGATTCATATATGATTCTATCCTGTCTCTGCTTAACCGGCTCAAGCTCGTGCCCATTGGTTGTCCGGATTCAGTAATACAGGTAAATGTCTGTCCCTGCCCTCTTTAAGCTTGCATTTTTAGTTTGGTGGAATGGAGTTGGGGGGGGGGGAGTGGTGTTGGGAAAACAACATATAACATGAACAAAATAAATGAAACAGGAAGTCTATAAGATGCTAGTGTTTAGTTATACGTTACTTAGCATGCTAATGGAGATAAGTAATTTAGAGAGGCCTCCCTCTCTGGAGCCTGCCACACGTCTGTGTGTGGCCTGGGCCAGGGTGCTTCCAGACAGTCCCACAGGATGGAGATCAGGTGGCTGTCTATAGACGGACAGCCCTGTGGGGCTCCCGGGTGTGTGTCCAGGGAGGAGGAGGGGGTGTGGGCTTGGGCTTGGTTGCAGGCCCAGGCTGTCTGGGGCGCCTGGCTGTGTTACTGCTGCCCTAGTTAAGAGCCGGAGAAAGTGTGCCAGACAAACCGGAGAAAGCTGAGACCTGCAGGCACTTAGTGCTGGCGAAACTTTGAGCTCAGCAGCGGGAAGAAAGCACGCTTTCCAGACCCCGGGAAGTGAGCCACCTAGAACCAGGAAGGGAAGATTCCTTTTCCTTCGGGGCGTCTAGGACACTCTACTGGAAAGGTTATGGTGCCCGCTGGCAAAGGAGAAACTTTTTTTTTTTTTTTACTGTAAGAGAACATTTATTTGGTAAACTACAGAGGTAGAAGTAATTCCTCTGGAAGAAGCCGGTAATGGAACTGTGAGCCCAGGTTTTTCCCCCGGGGTCGTGTCTCAAGACACTGAAGAATGAGTCCGTGGACCAGAAGATTTAAGCGGAAGTGTGGGAAATTATTACAAGCCCATTCAGACTCCCCAGTAATGGGCTGTCCGTTAAAGCCTGGTAGTCCAGGGGTAGATATTTGCTACGAGCCTGTTTCTGTATCCATGTCATCACCTCACCTGACTGAGTCCCTCATGGTTCTTGCCCAGCCACAGACCTGAACTTTCCGTGTCTGTGTGTTCTCTCTGTCCCTAAGCCGAGCTTTCCCCGTGTCTGTGTGTTCTCTCTGTCCCTAAGCCGAGCGTTCCCCGTGTCTGTGTGTTCTCTCTGTCCCTAAGCCGAGCTTTCCCCGTGTCTGTGTGTTCTCTCTGTCCCTAAGCCGAGCGTTCCCCGTGTCTGTGTGTTCTCTCTGTCCCTAAGCCGAGCGTTCCCTGTGTCTGTGTGTTCTCTGTCCCTAAGCCGAGCTATCTCTGTTGCTATGAGTTCATACACCTCATTGCTGCAGGCCCTCCCTTGGTTTCTCTTGTCTCCGGCTTTGAGTCCAGAAACATTTTGTTACTCCTGCTTGGCTGGTTTCTGAGATTGGGCTGCTCCAACAGCCATGTCTGCCTGTGTCTCACCTGCCTTTGTTTCCCCCAGGCCCCTGCCCTGTCTGCCTGCGTTTCAAGTTAATCCTTTCAAAACGGGCTTAGGAAGTGAGTGATGGAGGTAAAGGAAGGGCCCTGGGAGCCTGGGAGAGAGGAAGCTAAAGGGGATGTGCCTGGGGGAAGGGAGGAAGGGGGAGGGGAGGGGAGAGGAAAGGCAAGGGCAGGCCTGCTCCCAGGAGGGAGGGAGAGCACCCAAAGGAGCACCCTGGAGAAGGCTCAGCTCCAGGACTACAGAGTTGGCAAAAAAAAAAAAAAAAAAAAAAAAAAAAAAAGTGGGTTTAAAGCTGAGAGGCATTGGATTGATGGAGGGCACGGATGGTGTAAAGTCACATGGCTTGGTCCAGGCTTAGCAGGTGGTGAGGAAGGGCTGGAGCAAGGGTTCCTGGTGAGGAGAGACAAAGGCAAGGAGTCAGGCTGTAAACATTTGAATCGCAGGGTTGTTTGCCGAGTGTTTTCCGGGCACCGTTCTGGGAACTTTGTGAGCGTGATCCCCATCACGCTCGTAAGGGATGACTGGCCCACTTTCATAGATGACTACACCAAGCTTCACAGAAGTAAACTCGCTAGTCTAGGTCAGCAGTGGGAGAGGAGAGACTTGAACTCGGGTCTGTAAGACCCCAAAGACTTTGCTCTTTCCAACATTCTCGCGACACAGAAGGCAAAGAAGTTTGGACCCGAGTAGCTTAGTTCTGGGCAGATGGTGTCAGGAAGCTAGACGTACCTCAGCAAATGGGAGAGGGCAGTGTGCCTGGCGAATGCAGGCATCAATAATTCAGACAGCTGGCCCTCGGGGCTCCGAGCATCCTCACTGGGGAGCGTGCAATGGGAAATCAGAGACAGCCCGGCTTCCCACTGGGCCGGGCACTGGGTTGAGTGTGGCCCGGGCAGATCTGGCCATCTATCTCCCTTTACACTCCTGGGTGGGAGAGTGTGAATACGGCCCAGGGAACAGACGGGCTGACCCGGGTTCAGAAAGCACCTGTCAAGGATTGGATTTCCGGCTTGGGTCTACCTGTCTTGATATTTTCCGGAGATAGGGATAGGGCAATTGGAGGGTGGGTGCCTCCTGGATAAGGCTGCTTTTCCAGAGGAGATCTGAGTTGACATCAAGAACAGAGGTTGTTTAGAGCCTGGGGTAGGTAAATCCCCAAATATTTGTTCCAAAGAACAAATGCAGTCCTTCCCCCACCTCTTTTTCACTTATTATCATCCTACTAGAGGCTCGGTGCATGAAATTCATGCATGGAGGGGGGAGGGGTGTCCCTCAGCCTAGCCTGCACCCTCTCCAATCTGGGACCTCTCGAGGAATGTCCGACTGCACCCTCTTACAATCCCAACTGCTCTCCTGCCTGCCTTCCTGATTGCCCCTAACCACTTCTGCCTGCAAGACTGATCACCCCCCAACCACTGCCCTGCCAGCCTGATTGATGTCTAACTGCCCCCTGCCAGCCTGTTTGCCCCTAACTTCCCTCCTCTGCTGTCCTGGTCACCCCTAACTGCCCTCCCCTGCAGGCTTGATTGCCCCTAACTGCTCTCCCTTACAGGCCTGGTCTCCTCCAACTCCCCTCCCCTGCTGGCCATATTGTGGTGGCCATCTTGTGTCTACATGAGGGCAGGACCTTTGACCACATGGGGGAAGCTATCTTGATCATGTGTGTTGGAGTGATGGTCAATCTGCATATTACTATTTTATTAGATAGGATAGAGGCCTGGTGCATAGGTGGGGGCTGGCTGGTTTGCCTTGAAAGGTGTCCTGGATCTGGGTGGGGGTTCCCTTGGGGCATGGGGTGGCCTGAGCGAGGGGCCTGTGGTGGTTTGCAGGCCAGCCATACCCCCACTCCCCCCAGGCGACCCAAGTGGAGGCCCTGGTATTTGGGATATATTTATCCTCTACAATTGAAACTTTGTAGCCTGGAGTGAAGCCAAGCTTTCTGTTTGCTCTGTCAGCAGCTATTTCTGTTGGGGTTTATTCACCTTCTATAATTGAAACTTTTTAGCTTGGAGTGAAGGCCTAGGTTGGCCAGAGCAGGTGGAAAGGTTGGCTTCCTCCGTCTCCGTTGGCTCTCTCCAGCTCCGTGGCTGCCTCCATTTTTCTTCGGATTTATCTTCTAAATTAAAACTTTGTATCCTCTAGTGGAGGCCTGGGCCAGCTAGGGTGTGCGGAAAGCTTGGCTTCTTCCATTGTCGGGGAAACCCAAGCCTCCTTCCTGCTCTCTGTGGTGGCAGCCATCTTGGTTGGGTTAATTTTCATACTCACTCTGATTGGGTGGTGGGTGTGGTTGGTAGGCGTGGCTGGTGGGTGTAAAAGAGTGATGGTTAATTTGCATATTACTCTTTTATTAGGTAGGAAGCTACTCAGCAGGTAGGCCATTGAAAATTCATGCACTCAGGGCGGGAGTGTGGGGGGCGTCCCTCAGCCTGGCCTGCATCCTCTCACCATCCGGGGACCCCTCAGGGGATGTTCACCTGCTGGCTTAGGCCCGCTCCCCAGGGGATAAGGCCTAGGCTGGCAGTCAGACATCCCTCTGGCAGCCCTCGGGGGGATATCCTTAGTGCTGCCGAGGAGGCTGGAGGGCCTCCTGCCACTATTGCTGCAGTTGCAGCCATCAGCCCGCGCTTGTGGCTGAGCAGAGCTCCT